AGGTACAGAGATAAATAGAAGAACCATATTATGTTGTAAGTGCTATATACCTTATGTATATTGTAAAATATATATTAGCTATATACGATATTTGTAAATTATGCAATGGGTTTAACAAAAACACAGAAAAAACGAAAGAAGAAAACAAATGTTAACAGCGGCAACAAAATGTTTCAAGTTTATTAACAGCACTTTAGCACATAGAGTTAGAGATAGAAATAGACAGAGAAAACAGAAGAATGTTAAACATAAAATACAAAAAGAAATAAAATAAAAAATAGAAAACAACCACACACACACAGACAGACACACATACACAGCAAAGCACCAATTAAGCAAATCAAATTAAAAATTCTCATTAAAAAATTTATTAAAACACAAAAACAAAAATGATTAGAAATATTATAAAAGCAAAACATACACATTCACACTCACTAAACACCCACATATATATATATATATATACAAATTTTTTTTATTTATTCACGCAATCGCAGTAGATGAAAACATAAACAAAGCTGCTAAAAAAAAAAAAAAAAAAAACAATGTAAAAAGTCAATTTTAAATATAGCAAAAGCAACAACAAAATCGAAACGCATAGAACTTTATATAGAAAATACAATCAAATATAACTATATTGTGTATATATATATACATATTTATATGTATATATATATACATTTTGTCTGAAGCATCATTTGTATGTAGTAAATAGCAAAACAAAACATGTTGATGATTATGTACTCAATTTAAATTTTTCTAGTAGAAAAATAAACAAAAATGTTAGTTACACTTAAGAGCTGTTTATATATATATATATATAAAAAAAAGGAAACGAAACAAAACAGTTATTGAAACAAAAAGTACGCAAAAACAAAGAGCAACAAATTTTTTTGGTTAAATCGAGGCAAAAGTTAAGCAACTGTGTGTGCGTGTGCGTGTCGTCTGTGTGTTTGAGTGTGTGTTTAAAGTAAAACAAATTATATTTTCTTTTAGAACAAAAATTCACTTAATTTAAGTAATAGAAATCGTAGCAATCATGCACACAGTCACACACACCACTCACAAACACACTCATGCATATACATTACAATGTATATATATATATATATATATATATATATATATATATATATATATATATATATATATATATCAACGATGCAAGTGACGTCTGCTTGTGATATTTACAATTTACACAATTATGATTATGATTATCATTATATATATGTATATATACATACAAATGGATATGTATATGTATATATATATATATAAATATAAATATGTATATGTATGCATTACCAATATGATTATTATTATAAATGATTTTTTTCTATTTTTTTTTCTTAATTATATATTTATTCAATTTACGCTATCATATATAAATATATACATATACATATATTTCGATACATATATGCACAGTGTCTCAAAACATGAAAGAAATTGTCACTAAATGAAAAGTAAAAGTAAAAATTACAAAAAATGAATAAATTATAAATAAAATAAAAAGAACACGCTCTTTGGCCATTTATTGTAGCGCGAACGTTTTATGTTTTGTTTTAGTTTGTATTAACTATGTATATTCCATAATTATTATCATTATTATTATATATATATGTTTATTCTATTATAAATTATATAATTACGCTATGCTATATTTATATATATACATATATATATTCGATCTTTTGTTTTTACTTCATTGTTTTTTTGTAGTAACTGCAAAAGAAAAAGAAAACAAAATAAGAAACAAATTCGATGAGCCGCAAACAATTGAAAAATGCAAGAAATGAAATAAATATATGAGAGAAAATGTTAACATATTTAAAGAGTAAGCAAATCATTTGTATTCGTATTTCAATTTGTATTTGTACCATTTAAAATAGCAACAACAAAACACCAGCAACAAATTACTTAAATAAACAAATTGATAGCAACAAACAAAACACGAAGAAGAAGAACAAGTAGAAAAGAGAGAGAGCAAACAAATAACATTCCAAAAGAAAAAAAAAAACAAAAAAAACGTAACGAAAGCGTAAAAATTTGAATATCAATGTTTTCTTACATATTTAAAAATTACAATTAAATATACATAACTTAAATAAATAAACAAATTTAAAAAAATCACATTCACATCAAAATATGCGCCTAATTCAACATTTAATACAAAGTTTATCATTCGAAAGACAAAAAAGAGAAAACGCTCGAGTGCGTGCCATATAATGAGTGACTACTGTAAGGGCACGTGAACTCAAATGTGAGAAAAAATAAAACAAAACAAAAACGAAAACGAAAACAAAAGCAAAAGCCAATAGCAAAACGAAACAAATCAAAGAGAGAGTAAAAAGCAAAAACCAACAAATAAATAAAATTAAAGAAAATGAACAAAAAATACCAATTTATTGAAAATAAAATTGCATTTTTTCCCCTTTTCAAAAAAAAATTCGAAATTGTTTTTTTAATGATGCGAAGTTTGAAGCAAACATTGAAATTCTTCGATTTTGCTTTGCATATATATTTAAAAAAATGATTTTAACTGTATCTTACAGTACTAATACACCCAGCCAAGACCTATGATCTATTTTTAGGAATTTTCTATTGGTCCTTCGAGAAAGAGGTATACCGAAAGGCAGCCATACGTAAGAGCCAGAGGAATTGGGTTCGGAATTGTGGGGCAGCTATTCTATAAATTGAAAAGACAATATTTCATTGACTAATAATGATTTTTTACAAAAACTACTTTCAGATAACTAAATAAACTATTTAAAACAAGCAACAGTGCGCAAGTTGGGTCTGCTCGACTAGGAGATACTCTCAACCCTGCGATCAGCAGAAATTCCAATCCTTCTACACTTCTTTTATACTTACGCTCTGTATGCAAGACAAGCACATACACATCGCATACATATATTTACATACACACAATACCGTGGAATACCTTTTCTTCTAAGCAAATGATAAGTGTATTAAGTTTCTAGTACTTGGAATACGTTTTTTACGAACTGGGTTAAGCTGGGCGGTATTGAAAATCAAAAATAAAGAAAATGCGAATATTTATTATTTTATATATGTTTTATACATTTTCATGAAACCTTTATGGATTCCAATTTTCGACGGGTTTATGTAGATGTATTATATAGAGTGAGTGTGTTCTAGGATTATTCCAGTTCCGATTGCTGTGGATATGTTTAGACTGATTCTTGCTTAATAAAATTGGTTAGTCTGTGTAGTTTACTTGTTATACAATTTGCATAGCTTTTGTATTCCAATTTGAGTTCTTTTCGTTTTCCTTTTGCGTGTACATTCGTAAACGTTATGAAAATTCTAAAAGTATTTCAGTGAACAGCTGTTAAAGTAGCTCAGCTCAGTTCTGCTTTTTTAATAATTTTTTCTTTTGAGCCAGTCTATAGGCTATAAGTTGCTAATTTTTACAGCTGGGTGCAATTTGAGACACTGAGACGGAGAGAGGCCGAGAGGGAGAGAGATAGCGAATGGGCGACGCTGTGTCTTGCATTTCAATGGCTTTAGAGGTTAGCTAAGCGCGTGTCGTGCCTGCGCTCGTGACACGAGCCGAGTCGCCCGGCCTGGTCATAATTACGTATGCGAATCCATTTCTCAGCCAATTCAATTCACAATTTATAGCCATAATATTGCGAATGGATTTTATTGCGCCCTCGATTGGCCTATTGGGCTAATCAACTTATCGGCTGATTGACAGCAGGTGAGATGAGTGGGGAGGTTGGTGGTGATACAGGTGTGTTGGCTCATAGGTAACAACTGTTCGTGTGTCAATGGGGCATATTGGTTTTGTGCTCATATTGTCTAGCTACAATTAGAATAGAAAATTAATTGATTTTTATTGCAATGCATTTCCAATAGGGTCAGACCTTTAGGTGTTGAAGAAACTTTTATAATACATATTCTTGAATTCATTCGGAAGCTTGGCAACTTATGTAATATATATATTCCTGAATCGACTCCAATCGAGAGCTCCTTTGTCGACTTTGATACAATTTTTCAATTGCACTTGAGCTGCATCTTTATCGCATCACGTGGATCGAGAAATTTAATCACGAACTCTCGAAACATTTAATATATATTTAATATATATCAAATCAAATTTGATCTGCAAAGATTTTACGATTTTTAAATTCTAAATTTAAGTCCCTTTTTGAGACGATAGGGAATAGGAATCATCTTCTATATCTATTTGTTATATACAAGTATTTGTCTTAGCAGGGTGAAGAGTATTTGCCAGTTGTGCATGACCGACTTGCACATTGACTACAGGGTATACAGGCTGTTGCAGGCACAGAAAAGGCAAAACCTTTTAACGCTTATAGCCAATATTTGATCAATTGGTGCGATTTGCTGGATGTTGATTAAACGCTTTATAGCTGCAGATAGCAGACCGAAGAACAGGCGCAAAACGAGACAGAGAAACAGAGAGAGAGGGAGAGACAGAGTGAGTCAGAGACGGAGACGGAGGGAGAGAGGGAGGGGGAGGGGGAGAGGGAGCTGGAGCTGGCTATAATGTGACTTAATTAGCTGTGCAAATTTTTTTTTTTATTTGTTTTTATTTACTTTGTTATTTTTTAAAAGCAAGTGCCGAATTTAATTAACAGATTCGAGAAACATAGCAAATAAACAGATTAATAAACACGCTCGGCCTAGTTGAAAGCGATGCGTACAACGCGTCGTATGTGTAATCAGTGCCAATGCCGATAATCGGCTTACCAAATGCTAATGCTGATAATGATGATGACGACGATGACAATGATAATGATAAGCGAGCGTTTGATTAAAGTCAAACACAATCGACGTCGGCTTTATGGCTGATAACCCTCCACGCCCCACCGCCCGCCCGGCTGCCCCTCCCTCTGCCTGTGGCTGCTTGGCTGAGCTGAACGTCGCGCTCTCAGAGCTATTTAAGAGAGCTGCTTGGGGACTGCAATACTGGGGCAGTGGGGAATGGGTATTTGGGTGTTTGGGGCAGCATATAGCATACGCTTTGGCCGCAACGAGTCGTAACCTGGACGCGAACGCGTGCGCACGTAATCCCCCCTCGCGTATTCCTAGTGTGTATCGAACGCGAGTAAATCTAGTAGAGACGGGAGAATGTCAGAGTCCGCGTCGTCGCCGCTGCTGCTGCTCGCGGCGCAGGCGCTGCCCTATGCGGATGAGCAGGTGGAGGGCGAGGATGAGCAGGAGGAGGCGGAGGAGAGCCTGCGGCAGCGAGAGCAGGAGCAGCCGCGCAAGCAATCTCTCGGCCAGCGACGCAATGTGGATCTGCCGCAGTTGTATGTAGTCAACGAGCTACCGGAAGAGCTGCCCAACGAGGTGGAGGCGATGCGGGACCGGGACAGAGACAGAGACAGGGATAGAGACAGGGATAGGGACAGAGATAGGGACAGAGATCATTTTGGACCCGGACTGCGACGCAATTCCATTTCGCTGCCGCAGGGCATAAATTCGCTGGACTTGGAAGCGCTGCGTCTACGGCATCAGATGCAGGCGCAGGAGGCGCTGAACGAGGAGAGCCAAGCGGAAAGCGTGAGTATAGGGTACAGAGGGCTCATGAGGGGACAGAGTGAGGGAGGGCAAGCTGAGGTATAAGCAGTAATGCGACTATGCTGATTCATTTTACGATTTCGGAAACGAGTTTTTGGCATTAAACAAAAGCTACCAGATAAATAATTATAAGCTTATTAAGTCTCTATCTGTGTGTGTATTTGTGGCAAATTACACGTAAATTAACAAAATATTAAAAAAAAGCAAAAGCAAACAAAGAAAAAGAAAAACATTTAGAATACTTCAAACACTGGAACAGAAATGCCAAAAGTCTCGATCTGCTGTCAAATATACCTATATGTAGATATGTATACAGATAGATGTGTTGAGACATCCGACATCTCCTCTCATCGATCTATTTGAATCGGATAATTATTGCTGTACATCTTATTTTTGCTTGCCATTTCAATTCTCATGTTTACACTTCAAGCGTAATTAATGTGCATTGCAAACAGTTGGCGGTTTTGATAGCTGGAAAGGCGTATCCGACTGCTTAGATACCCCGTGATCGGCACCTTTGTGTGGTCCACTGTTAAGAATAGCTGTGCTAGCCTTAGCTTGCCTAGCAGTGCGATTTGTGACGCTATCTTGGCAGTTTCTGGGATCTGTATACACTATATTAGATCCCTATGTAACATTCTTATATATATATATATATAATTCTTATGTGATTCCATTCGGTGCAGCCCTATCAAGTCAGGAAAGCCCATTCTGTCGCCTACGCACAGGGTATAAGTACACAATGGAATATTTTATTACGTTAACTACACTGAACAACGCATCAAAACCAGCATCGAACACATTTTTTATAGAGGTTAAATATAGGTTTCTTTACTATTAATTACTAGAAATTCATTAATTTCAGTTTTTTTCGAAACTACTGAATTTGTCACTCATATGTCATGAGTAATCGCTAGCTTACGCTATCATCTCCGTAAATACTGATCCATTCTATATATCAGCTCAGCCTGAAAGTGAGCAGCAAATTTTGTTGTATTCCGATTGGCGCCTCAATAAAGGGCAACAGATTTCGCCTAGGACTTTTACTTATATTCCTCTTTATAGAGTATATAGTTTTTTTTTTTAAATAAATAACATATTCAAAACAAAGAAAACTTTGGAAAAGTATATCTCTCATCACAAATTTAAAAAAACATACTTTTATACAAATTTCATCAGTTTAAAAATAAATGCATTTAAGGTTTATTAAATGAAAGTATTTTAAAAAAATTGTTAATATTCTTAGGGCTTTAGGAAAAGCCAAAAAAATTTTAAATAAAATAATAAAAATGGTTCATACATTTTACGAGTGGAAAATTATAAAAAATATTTTTGTAAATATGTTAATAAACAAAAGAGTTTTCTAAACTCTCCGGCGAATATCGTCTGACACTGCCACGCGTGCTCCGAGAGAAGGATAAAAATTACATATTATAATTATAAATAAATTCTGTAATCAGCTTATCATATTTTAAAACTGGTTTTGAAAGCATTGCATGAATTAAAAAAAGGATTTAAAAATTTTTAGTGTTAATTAAACAAATTTTTAAATAAAAATATTAACAAATTTCAAAATTCTATTTTAACAAATATTAAAGTTGTTTAGAGAAAATAATGATACTGTTTAACAAAAGATTTTTCTACATTTTCTTTGACAAACTCATGGAGACAAGAACTTTGCAAATTTTTGTAGTTGCCTAAACCAGTAAAAGCACTAAATATTAAAATACATAAATATTAAAATTAAAAAAGGCGCAAAGAGAATGAGTGCAATCAAATTAAAAACCAATTCGTTAAAAGTACTACATTTCACACCACAATCAATAATTAAAAAAAAATAAGAACAATAATAATTATCTGAAAAGCTCCTTCCACATTCTCATCGAGTCTTTTGAGAAAAATATTACAATCAATATTTTAGCAAAAAAAAAAAGAGAAAAAATGAGATAAAAGCAGAAAGAGAAAATTTTGTCTGATCTGAAAAATAATAATTATCCGACGAAATCATTCTAAAAAAAAGGAGATAGAAAAGAGAAAAAAAAAGAAAAATATGAGATAAAAAAGAGAAAAAAGAAAAAAAAGATATAAAACTTGGTCTGCTCTTAAAAAAGCTGACGAAGTAGACTAAAAAATAATAATTATCCGACCAGCTCATTCCAAAAAAAAAGGAGAAAAAAAGAGATAAAAAAGAGAAAAAAATGAGAGAAGAAAAAAAAGATATAACGCAGACTGAAAACTAATAATTATCCGACGAGCTTGTTCCTTTTCACTTCGAGTATTTTGAGATAGATATTATAATCAATATTTTAGTAAAGATAAAGGAGGAAAATAGAGAGAAAAAGAAAAACAGGAGAAAAAATGAGATAAAAAAGAGAAAAAAAAAAATGATATAAAACTTTGTCTGCCCTAAAAAGTTGACGACGCAGCCTGAAAAATAATAATTATCCGACGAGCTTCTTGCACATTCTCATCGAGTATTTTGAGTTAGATATTATAATCAATATTTTAGCAAAAACTTAGGAGAAAAATAGTTAAAGAGAAAAATAAGAGATATAACTTGGTCTGCTCTTAAAAAGACGCCGAAGCAGACTGAAAGATAATGTGAGCACAGTTCGAAGCCAACTACGATTGAATGTACCGCTTATCGTTTAGGCCACTCAAGGCGACTCATTAGAGCTAAATTAGATACTCAAGTTTGAAACTTAAATTTGAATAAAATAAATCAGATCAAATTCTTTCACAACCTTTTTGTGCCAGCCTTTTTATTTATAACCTCAATTTCACCATGCGCAATAAGACTTAGACGCTCGTCGACACATTCCAGCGTATGTCAAATTGCAGTCGCTTATATGCGAATGTCAAATCGCATTTTCTTGTATGCGAATGTCAAATCGCAATCACTTATATGCGAATGTCTTATTCGCAATGAACGAATGCATCGAGGCACAAACTGAGTGAGCAACGAATGTCAAGCATCGATACAAAGGAGCAGTTAGCAAGGAAGGCGGCAAAAAGGAAGATTTCAAATTTTAGATGTCTTTGTTTATTAATAAGCAGTGCAGAGAGTAAAACGTTCACGATGGTCTCAGAAAATAACTGAAAACAAATCTGAATTCCAAATCTTGAAAATATCAGCTCTATTAACATATTACATAAAGTGATTCGATAAGCGTGATAAATATTCTCTCGTGTCCCTTGCCTCCTCTTCTGTGACCGAGTCTTCTGACAAGTAGGTTAAGGAGGAATACAGTTTGAGTTAATGTTGATTGATTATTGTGCCTCCGACCAACAGTACCTAACCGGCGACACGTCGGCGTACGTCTTTGGTTAAGGTGAAGTTTTGATGCGATGCCTTAACTCGTTTTCCACATTTCTAAATGGAGCCCGTATACTTTTGTATATTATTATTATTGTATTAACAGTAATGTTCCAAGTTCGGAAACTTTGTTTCCCCAAAGCACAGCCGTCTTGTCTGCGAACGATGTTAGCAGTAAACCTTGATTAGGAGATACCCTGTAGTTTTGGGCATGCCGTGAGTTGGACACACAACGCTTCCTTGGGGAACTGGGAAGCAGGCGGTCCAATGGGACCGCTACTGAAAGCTTCCCGGTCTTTAATTTGGTGAGGTTGGGGGTTGGTGGCTTCAAGCTCCTTCGGCTGCTACAGCGTTTACTCTTTGTAGTGGAGTCTGTCTAATTTGATTCACTATCCTGTGTAATCGTTCCGTATTCCACGTTTTAGTCTGAATGCAAATTGAAAGGGGATGAGATTCATGACGTCCTTAGGAACTTCGGAGTCTTCTTCCAGCGGTTTTCCAAATGCAGGAGGCTAATTGGTCTGCATGATGTTTATTCGTTATCTGCGCTTCTGCATTCCGGAGAAGTATCCCAGGTTAATAGTGGGATGGCATCGAGTGGGACTTAATGAAGCGCTTATCGATTCCATTAAAGCCAGAAGCATTTCCACATTTAAGGATGCCGACTTCTTGAATTACTCCAAATATGGTGGGAATTATGTGTATTCACCTGCTGCAGACCCTTCGATATATTCTCTCCTTAGGCATCTCATTAGTATTACAAGTGACGTGAGGTGCGTGGACTTGTCTCTAGCTATGGCATCACATCTATATGCGACGAAGCATCTGATCTCTCTACTCATCGACCCATTTGAATCGTCTATTGGTCTATCGACTCCCATGAAGAACCAACAATACATCTATACAAAAAAACTAAGAATAAATTTACTTCAACATACCTTCTTTACAACGTCATCGAGTACTGTGAAACACTCACAAAGTTACTACGTTAAATGCGGTCGTCACCTCCTTACGTGCTCCAAACCGCAGGATACCCCAGCGGAGAGGCTCATACAGGTCCACTGGTCTCTGAATTGTTAGGAATTTAATAAATAAGCCACTAGACCCTCTCCTTACACTATTCACATCTTCTTCATCACACTTCTACGTTGCAAGGACGAATGCCATGCTACTTCAAACCAGCGCTCGACTAGCTCATAAACTCCCTCATAAGATTATTCATAACATCATTAACACCTGCTGACCCTCGTTCCAAGCTTTACAAGCCATGGATACTCAAGTTTCGAAACTCTTTAGCTGCAAGAGTGCCATACGGAGCACTCTGCCACGCACTCAGTCATCTGTTCAAATTTTAAGTCAAACTCCCTCCAATTTCATTGCAAATCCCAATTCAAGTTCCGTGTTTGAAAGCCCCGTTTGGAATGACACTTTTACTTGCATGTCTTATTCAAAACTAAAAGCGGTTCAAAGGAGTGCACTGAAATTACAGATTTATTCGCAAATAAATCTTCAACTCGCACTGCAGTCAAAACTCAAAACGAAAAAAGAATTTCCTTCGACGAGCCCCTCCTACATTCTCATCGAGTATTTTGAGAAAGATATTACAATCAATAATTTAGCAAAAAAAAGAGAAAAAAAGAGATAAAAGCAGAAAAAAGAGAAAACTTTGTCTGCTCTGAAAAATAATTATCCGACGAGCTCATTCTAAAAAAAAAAAGAAAAAACAGATAAAAAAGAGAAAAAATAAAAAAAAGGAGAATGAGATAAAGACAAAAGAAAAAAAAAAGATATAAAACTTGGTCAGCTCTTAAACAGCTAACGAAGCAGACTGAAAAATCCTAATTTTCCGACGAGCTTCTTCCACATTCTCATCGAGTATTTTGAGTTAGATATTATAATCAATATTTTAGCAAAAAAGAGTTTAAAAGCAGAAAAAAAGAGAAAACATTGTCTGCCCTGAAAAATAAGTATCTATAATAATTATAAATAATAATTATCCGACGAGCTCCTTCCACATTCTCATCGAGTATTTTGAGATAGATATAATCAATATTTTTGCAAAAAAAAAAAAAGATATATAATAAAAACCGAGTATCTTGCGATAGATATTACAGTCAATATTTTATCAAAAAAAAAAGGAGAAAAAAGGAGAATAAAAAAAAAATAAAAAAAGGAAAAATAAAACTTAATCTGCTCCCACTGATACGCCAAAGCAAACTGAGTTGGAGAAAAACTGGACGCGAGAACATCGAAATTTGAGCAGTTCGAAGCCTACTACGATTGATAGTTTCGTTTGATAGTTTTGCTTATCGGTAAAGCTAAGCAGGCCATGCAAGATGTTTAAAGGCTTATCCGAAGGTCTTCCTATTGAATTCTGCTGCAACCCTAAAGGTAAAAGTTGCAATTTATGATCTATATAAATATATATATTTATGAATACAACTGGTACATATATAAAATATATTGAAGCTGCCATAAACTAGATAATGAGAAAGCGGCATCCCACATGACTTATGGGAGTGGGGAGGGCCAGCCAGCCAGCTAGCTGGATGGACAGCGAATGACCAAAAGCCGATAGACTGTAATTTATGGCAAGTAGTTAAGATTAAGTGCTAAGTCTAGTCGGCCATATTGCTAGCGCGCGCCGAGCTGAATAATTTTCAAGTCTGTCGCTGCGAGTGTCTCGGTACGTATCAAAATCAAAAAGAGACGCCATTTGGCAATGCTGCGGCGAGGGTCGTCATCAAAGTATCGAATGTTCATGCGTTTATACAAAACTAAGAAGGGAAATAAGCTTCTAAGTGGGAACGAATTTGTCTCAAAATGGGATATATCAGGAATAAGGGATATATGCTGGGTATTTTATCTTTGTTAAAGGCACTCTAGAAACTCAAATCTAAGCAGTAACAGTTCTTTATATATGTTAATGTCGTTGGGATGCTCGAAGGAATAATTTGACGATGCTATTCCATAGGATAAACAGATATCTTATAGCACCAAGTTGAAGAGAAGTAATTTTCTTTAATAAATTATGCAGTGTTGATGCTTTCGATTACTGATTGAACTGCCCTCGTTCTGTGAGCGAGAATCACAATAAAATTGTGAGAAATGTGAAGCCGAAGCCTCGTAATTAATCACTGAGGAACGAGCACTCGCAGTCGCCATGAAGCGCGACGTCGACCGATTAAACAAACACACACCAATACACACACTCACACACCCTTACACACACACACACGCACACCAACAGATAGCAGATTGAAAGCAAAGCCCTCGTCATTTCTAATACAATATTCGAGCAATTATCAAGCAGCCGGCAAAGGCAGCAGACGCTTCGAGCTCTGTTTTCACTCACTGCAGCAACTTCACTTCAGGCAGTTCCATTCGACTCCTGTGCACCTGTGCGATGAGCATGCTACCTCCTACGGCGCTGGATGCGCGCCAGGACGAGCTGCAGCAGCTAACTGCGGGCAAGGCAGGTACTACGACTGGCCAATCGAACTGATCTGAACCGATCCATATTGGCCGACGACTGGCCCAAACCAGTTTCAGCTGACGGCAGCTGCAAGCCAGTCGCGCACAAAGGCAGGAAACGGGCCCAGCCGCGTGCGTCTTATAAATATGCATTACAAAATCACGCATACGCCATGTTGCACATATGAATTAAAAGCAAAAGGCGACAAAGAAGCCTCAAAGAGCCAACTGCATATATAATTATATCAATGCATATCGTATATATGTATATATCTTATTTTCCGTCTTGTTTGCAGATCGTCGACGACGCATCCGCCTCCAGCATCGGCACGCCCACAACGCTTTCGCCTCCACCCAATACGAATGCTAAGAATAGCAAGGAGGAGGACGACGACAGCAGCGACGAATTTGGCAACGCCAAGAAACCTGTTCACAAGTGAGTTATCTCTCGAATATCGGCTATATTTATATAATTACATATACCTGTAACAGTTATTGATGTACGTAAATGTGCGCATATAGCCATGCACTTATTTTCCATGAATATGTTTATTTTAGCTGTATTTTTAGTCTTTATATCATTTGCATCTCCGTTATGTTTTTTCAATAGCATTTCGCATACTAGTGCTAATTAGCCTTTGTTACGAACGTAGTTGTAAGCATCTGATGGTTGACCAGCCGTTAGATACCTTGTAATTACGAACTGGCCACGCATAGTGCCAATTGAGCTGCGACCCGCAAACTCCCATTACTTCCATCTTTTTACAGGGTATCATTGTAAGAGATGCTCTCAATATTGTCACAGCTACACAGTTATACGTAAATGCAGAGTATTTAAGTATATTGTGTTAGCTAAGCATTTTACAGGGTACCTGTGAGCCGAACTTCATGTGCTTCATTTTCAAGTGGTACACAATCTGGCTGATTGAAGCATTTTAAAGCCATATAAAAGCTATAAACATTTAATGCAGATTAGATAGATTTATGTTGAATAACGCTGTTTACAGGGTATTTCAAGGTCCTCTTAGAGGCTTGGCAGATCATAACATGTATGTAATGCAGCCTGAGGCTTTGTACAGGGTATCTCAAATCATTCCATTGTTTTCTATGTCATAAAATACCATAATTCAAGAGTATCTTAAAGTCATACTAGAGTTTAATGTCATAACACTTAGATTGGTATAACACAGGGTATGTTCAAGTCAGCAGCAAACATAACATGCAGATTGACCTGCTTTAAGACGTTGTACAGGGTATCTACTCGCTCACTCTAGAGCTTTGCCGCTCTACTGGATACAATATAGTAGTGTACAGGGTACAGGGTATCTGAAAGTAATAATTGCACTACGTTTCCAATAACTCCTATCTATTCAGAATTCAATTGTAACTGTCTGGCAACCCGTGTGGCCAGCTTAGTGTGGCAACTCCCGTACTCGTTGCCCATGTCTCTCATGCCAAAGTTCAGACTGCAATTAAATTAATTAATTTGGATTTCATTTCAAACTACATCGGAGCGAGCGGAATTGGGAGCGTGGACTAGGGAACGGGCAGCGGGGAAGGCGGAACGGGGAATGGGGAATTCGAAACGCAAACGTGTCATTCTCAGCATTCCGGCATAAAGCGCTTCCACTTTTTAGCTTCGCAGTTGTAATGAAATTCAACGGTTCTTTAGTTACAGTTAGTTAGCCAAACGCGTTTCGTTTGCGTTCAAATTCTGTTGTTCAATTACCAAATTATTGTTATTAATAAGCTTTGGTCAAATTGTTGTTGTCTAAATAAATTATAATTGCACGGCAAGTTTTTTAAGGCTGCAATTAAATGTGAAGCAAATGAAAAAACCCTAAGCTGCTTAGCAACTAGATACCCTGTATTAAGTACGATAATGAGTGATGAGATAAGCATTTGGCCTATTTAAAGCAAATAAACACAATTAAGCGTGCTCTTCTTGAGGCGACTCGCCTAGTAGACACCCTTAGAGCTGCGAGCAGCTGGGCAGGAAGGTATCCAAATTGGAAAATATATAACATCTTCATTATTCATTACAAAAACCTACACAGTAAATCTGAAGTTTCCAGCATTTACGGTATTCAAGCAATTGTCGATTTTTTATCAATAATTAGGCCTTCTTCTACTCCTTCTGCCTGTTACATACTTTTGCAGAATACCCATTTTCTATGGCTTCAGGGTATAAAAATATATATATTCATAAAGTTTGCGGAAATTGTAGTAATTTTAAAAGTTTTTAACAGAAGCAGCAAAGTTGAACTGGCTGCTTCTATGTCCAGCTCATGTCTGTGACGATAATGACAAAAAGTCAATAAACTGAATTTTTTGTTAACTTATTTGATTGAGCTGAAGCACATCAACACGCAGTATAATTCGCTAAGAGCAGCAGAGCTGCAACAAGTATGTTAAGCGACAGGACCGCTTAACAGACAGCGTCAATGAACGGGCAGCTGCATTTAGCAGAGCGAACGGCTCATCTGAGCTGTTCACTAACAGCTCTGTTAACAGACAGCTCTCCTTACAGAGCAAACGCTGCGCTTGCGCCTACGCTTAGAGCCGCTCAACAGCAAAGCTTTTGCTGACAGAATGTTAAGTACGTGTGTGTGAGTGAGTACGAGAGAGCAATTCTGTAAGAATGCGCGCGTGTGTGTGTGTGTGTGTGGTAGTAATTTTGCAGTTTAAGCAAATTAATAACGCTGCAGCGACGACGACAGCAGGTGGTGGGTGGAGGCAACAGCAAAATCTCGCTTGTTGATGATAAGCTCATCAAATGGCAGCAGCAGAGGCAGAGGCGGCACAAATCAAGACGTTATTATTGTTATTATTGTTGATGTTCGTGAAAACTTTGTTGATTATCACAGCGCATGAATGTGTGTGCATGTGTGCGTGTGCACAGTTGCGGCTATAATAGTAGTGCCGCTGGCAATGAAACCTCTAAAGAATTTAAATTCCAATATTTTATCAGCTCGTATTGTAGATAAGACTTTTAAGACATTTATGCTCCTAATATGATATATTTCTTATACTACTTAAAGATTAGAAAAGTCCGTTTTGGTAAATATATATGACTAAGTATAATAATAAAACAATATAGAATTTAATATAACTTAATAAGAATTTTTCTATAATCTGAGGGTTGTCCGAATTCCGCTCGTTGACTATTATTTTGGCCGCTACTGTAATAAATTACATGCGAACTCATTGTCGGTATAATATCTATAAAATCAGTTGAATGTGCCATTCGGGCTGCTGTTGTTGTCGCTTTATCTTCAGCTGTAGATGTAGCTGTAGCCGTAGCCATAGCGTATCTGTATCTGTATCTTTAAGTCAGAGCAGCTCAGTAGATAATTGTGATTAGGCGTGATAAGACAAACGCGCATAGCTCGCAGCCATCAAGTCACAAACGTTGCTTAAGCATAGCCACTAAACAGACGTTACAGGTATAACTATATCTATTATAAATATGTATAGACATTCAGCTATAAACAACAACTTATAGTTGTAATGTGCTAATTTCGTGCTAAAACAAAGCTGATTTATGGGGCCTTATCGCACAAACATATATTGCATTTCAAGCGGCGCCTATGAAAATTATACAAAAAAATAAAAAATAAATGTATATATATATGTGTGTATATATGAATATGAATATTGAAACGATACGATGCGAGTCATATGCTTTACCCATATGAAATGGGTCACTCAGTTGAGAGAAGTCTCCCAATCCACGTACGCCCACCTCCTACATATAGTTTATATGACGTGTGTTGGCCTTCGGGTTTTTGTTTTTCGTGTGTCAACGCAAAAACCATTCTTAGCTATCGCTAATCATAATCTTAATCAAATTTGCCCAGCTACAAATCATTTTCTGACAGTAAAAACTTGGTATACAATTCTAATATGAAGTCAAGCAAGATATACAAAGTACGCTAAATGCCAGACATCGACATGAAGTTCGGTTCGTTTCGGTTCGGTTGGTTAACGCAATGCAACTCATAATATAAATTTCATTAAGATCTGTAATATACTGTCTTATATATATATATGATCAAGCTCGAAAAATACGTGAGATAAGCACAGACACGAACGCTATTCAATATAGCCATAAATCTCAGTTGTACTTGGGGAATAGCACAGCTTGTTGTCTGTTCGTATCTGTTGCTGTATCTGGCTAATTTACAATCGGCTATCACAAATGCCAGCATTGATAGCTGAAGATCCGACGGACACGCAGTCACCAGTTATCGGATATTGGTTATCGGTTATCGGTTATCGGTTGTGTATCGATGTTTATGGCTCTAACAATTCGCATTATTTACAACTCTCGACAGGGACCGCTTTCGTAGCCGCAGACGTGCCTCAATCGCCCCTTTGCCCGCCCTCCGTCTCAACAGCCGGGAGATGTTGGCCAGCGACTTTGACACCCACAGCTTGGCCAGCAATCAGGCCTCGATCACAAGCGTCAACTCCTTGGCGAGTTTATTACGCGAGAAGATGCAGGTAAGTTAACAGGTAGCAAGGGAGAGAGCGAGAGGAAGGGAGACAGATAGAATGAGAGAATGACGGAGGGAGAAAGAGAGTGGAAGTAAAAGAGAGAGAGTGGGAGATAAAGAGAAAGAGAGCGTGAAAGAAAGTGAGAGAGGGAGGAGGATAGAGAGAGAGAGAAAGGAAAAGATAGGGGATAGAGAGGATGGAGGAGAAAGATTGAGATAGAGAGAAAGAGTGAGGGAAATAGCGAGAAAGAGAAAGAAAGAGATAAAGGGAAAAAGAAAAGGAGAAGGGGATGAAGAGAGAAGGAAACTTGAGAAAGAGGGAAGAAGAAAGAAAGACATAGAGAGATAATATAAATAGAGAGAAAAAGAGAATCATGTGACAACAACAAAGAGAAAATAGGACAGAAGAGCGTGAGAAAGAAGCTCAGAGAAAATGAAAGATAGAGAATTATATCGTAACAAAAGGAGAGAGAGAGGAGCAAGAAAGGCGAGAAAGAGATCAAGAGGGAGACAATGAAGAGAGACTTATGTCAGATTTAAGCTCAACATTCAGTACGAGTAGAGTCCATTTGAACAATATAACTAGCTGCATTCCACTGTCGTCAATCGCAATGTGGAAGCATCCACAAGTGCCCCATCTGTGCACCTGAAATCTCTGGTATTTCGAGTGATGAGTGGAATGCTGCTAAGGGGCTCTACATAATCAAAATCTAATCTACAGGCCTTCCCACAGCTGATACGCAAGAAGAAGCGCGAGACGAAGGACTACAAGATCAAGATCTTTGTGATCATGATGTTCTTCATCATAATCTTTCTGGTGAGTAGTTAGAGTTGGTCCTGGCCCACAGATCCTTTGGCTCATCAAATGTTGTATTTAGATCGGCTATGCGTATGTGGCGTACCATCATCAGGTGCTGACTAAAAGCTACTTCCAGAAGCTCAAGTTCAACTCGAAGGATCGCATCTTTCGCATACTGAGTCACGACGACAAGGAGGTTATCTTTGGGCATTTGGGCGTCACCCTGGACAGCGATACGGCGCCCTTCCACTGCCTCGAGAATCAGCGGCGAGCCGACGGCAGCGTCTGCATCGAATGGAATGGCATCGCCCGTCTCCATCTGAACTTCGAGGACAAGCAGGTGTTCCGCTGCTACACGCTGCAATGGCAGGCACTACGACCGGGTCTGCTGCCAACCGATTGCTACGAGCTGAAGCGGGACAATGGACTGTGGTTTGGCGGGGGCATAACCAAGGGCCAGGAGTGGTCCCTCAGCTATGCCAACTTCGACTTTATGCCCTATGCCAGCGGCGATCATAAGGTGCATCAGTTCGGCAACGCGGTCAAGCGCTACTTCATCAACTCGATCGGCGTGGCGATGCAGGTCAGCGAGCGTACACCGCTCCAGCTGGGCATCAATCGGACGGAGAATCAGTTCTGTCTGCGGGCAGCCAACGATGATTTCACGTTTGTGAACCGCTTGACGCCATTGCCACAGCTCGATTACAGGATATGCACTACGGAGGACATGCGCAGCTTGCATATGCTGATGACACAGCAGAGCCTATGGGACGGCCTCACCGAGCAGGACATAGGTGAGCTGCACTCGCTGCTGGAGGAGCCTGTTTGGCGCATACCCAACCAGGAGCAACGCGACCATCTCAACGAGTCCGTCATTTGCGATTACGCCGAGAACGCGATTGCCATGGGCCTGGGGCACATTGTGATCAATGAGTTCTGGCAGGAGAATATTGGGGACTTCACGGTGGATCGGACACGCTTTCCCACGCTCAAGGACACCATCGATGTGCTGCACCGACGTGGCTTCAAGGTCGTCTTCACCATTCAGCCGTTTATTAGTACGGACAGTCCAAACTTCAAGGATGCCGTCGCTCGCAAGCTGCTTATCTATGAACGCTACTCGGAGCGCAGCATCCCAGCGCTGACCCGCTATAAGAGCAGCTCCAGTGCCGGCGTGTTAGATATTACAAACAATGCTTCGGTGCCCTGGCTGCTGGAGAAGCTGCAGCGGCTTAAGGATGAATATGGCGTGAAGAGTTTCTATCTGGATCTGGGCACTGGCTATAATCTGCCGCACTACTATCAATGCCGACAGCCGCTCGACAATCCAGACATGTATGCGCGCATGCTGACCAGCAGTCTGGAGAGCGCTGGGCTTATGGCCGTGTCCACAGCCAGCGTGGTGCCCAAGCCGCCGACATTCCTTAGCACGCCGCCGGCGAATGCGACGTGGGCGGGTCTTCGGGATACATTGGCGGCGGTGCTCAACTATGGCGTCATTGGCTATCCGTTTGTGCTAGCCGGCGCAATTGGTGGCGACTACTTGCTGGAGCGTCCGTTGACCAAAATGATCTCGTTCTATTCGCTGGGACAGCCGCCGCTGCCAGATGCCGAGCTGTTCATACGCTGGCTGCAGCTGGCCACATTCCTGCCGGCCATGCAGTTCAGCCATCGGCCGGACGAGTATCACAGCGAGTTGGTCACGCGCGTTGCCCAGGAGTTGAAGGAGGTGCGTCAAACGGTGGTCATAGCTCTGCTCAAGAAGTATCTCAGTCCATCCATGAACGAGGGACTGCCACTGGTGCGTCCACTCTGGATGATCGATCCCCACGATCCCGCCTGTCTCATTGTCAGCGATGAGTTCTCGGTGGGCGAGGAGCTGATTGTGGCACCCATACTGGACGCCGGTCTCGAGGAGCGTGAGGGTGAGTAACAAGCGGACTAATCTCCCATTCTCTTTGAGCTGCGTCTTGACCCTGTCTGCCTTTTCAGTTTATCTGCCGCAGGGCGTCTGGAAGGATGGCATCGATGGATCCCTGCGCAAGGGCAGTCGCTGGATGCACGGCTATCGCGTGCCCAAGGACAAGATTGCTTACTTCCGCAAGATGCCGGATAATACGCGTTTCTAGTTCCGATTCCAATTCAACTTCCAATTCCAATTCCAATCACAGTTCAAGCTCATCCCTCATCTCTCAATATTATGATTGTTTATTATTATTTTACATATCTTATCTCAATATACATATATAAATATATATATATATATATATATATATATATGCATACGCTCATAGATAATACTACACACATCATGTATAAACAAATGTTGCCTAAACACCAGGCTTAGTTCCTAGAAACTATTTTTTTTTTTTATTTTTTTTCGATTTGTTTTAAGTACTCGTTGTTATGCCCTGCATGTTAAGCATTGAATTAGTCTATCCAATCGGCTTACGAGCAAGTAAAAATGTATTGAAACCCGAAACCAAATCGATTTGAATTTTGAAATGTTCTTTGGAAAAATTGAAGGGCAATTAGAGTTGGGCGAGCTCTTAAGAATTCTTCTAAGGTCTTCATACGCGTGAGTCAACGGCCTCAAGCTTTTCCATAAAGCAAGCATCCAGAGGGCATATTACTTGTTACTTCCTTATAGATAGTATCATCTTAAAAGCTTAGCTAGAAATTGATAGAAAAACATTCCCAGTCACAGGGTGCTCAATAAAAACTTATCGATAAATCGATTGATTTATTTCAAACCTTTACAAATCGTGTTCAGCTCTACACTTGCTAAGGGCTGAGTAAGCTTAGGGCAACTGCAGGGCATATTTCCTAATATTATTGATCGATAATATTCGCTTATCGATAGTTACACGTATAATTCGAACTTGTTCAAATAAATATGTAAAACTGTGGGTTTTATTAGCAGCTCACTTAAGTTAGCTTTCACTTTAATTAATAGCAATAAATAGTTTCCGCCACCGGATCAAATTCCAGTTCCGGTTCAAGCTTGGGCTGCACTACCAGTTCCAGTTCCGGTTCCAGCTTCAGTCCGGTTTCAGTTTCGGTTTTCTGTTTGAGAACCAGTTACTATTTCGGTGCCAGATCGCTTTCCAGTTCTAGTTCCGGTCCCAGTTGCAGTTGTAGTTCCGGTTCCGATTCTATTTCCAGTTCCGATTCCAGCTGCCGCAGTTTGCCTCACAGCTTGAGCCGGCACTCGGGCAGCGTTGACTCGCACGGCTCCGTTTCGGGCGGCCGGGGAAGCAGGCTACACTGAGCATCCGCGACGACAACATCGTGCTGATCGAGACAGACAACGGAGCGCCGACGCTGGGGCATGGGAGCGCCCGGCTGGCGACAGGTAAGCGGACAAAATTGCCAAGGACCGGGCCACCAATGCGCCGGACAGTGCTGCTCAGCACAGACGCGTGTCTGCCTCGAGGGCCGCTTATTCTTTGCGTGTGTCCAGCAGGGCAGCTTGTCGCTGAGCACTGGAAATAAACTGAGATTTGACAATGCTCCGATGGAAGGTCGCTTGGCAGAACTTACATTTACCATTCTCCAGGCAGATGGGCTCTCGATGCTGAACACCGCCGCCACAGCTAACAGAGCAGGCGGTCCAGTTGCTCAGGCGCCACTGATGCTGTCGCCCGCTGGTGACATTAAACGCGGGCAACGTGAACTCGTAGTAGATGCCCGTGTTGCTCTCGTTGCCGCGCACGATAGCCTGCAGGACATTTATAGGATAGGGTATATTGATATATGAGAGATGGGCAACAAGGGGCTTGGCTTACATAGAGTGCTATGGCGTGCTGTATTGGCTGAGGTATTTTGATGGTCTCCTGCTCGTCCAGCCGATCGTAAAGGCTCTCGGCCCCGGCGATCTCGAATTCGCCGGGCATGGAGATCAGGCTGTCGCCATTCAAATAAAACTTGTCGCCCTGCGCTCGTCCGATGGCCAGAAAGTGCGGCGAGTTGGCCAGCTCCTTGATCAGTATGTGGCGCGCCCGAGCCGGTATGCTGACGATCTGTTCGTAGACGCCGTCGCTCACGTTGAAGGCCTCACTGTAGATCTCTTTTATGGGCTTGCATTGATCACCAGCACCGCCACAGACACCGCAACGATCGTCCTGCATGTCCGAGTCAACGATCCAATCGCAACCAACTTTCTGAATGAAACGCTTGTTTAATTGATCTCGCCGAGCAGCTGGGCCAGAGCGTGAATCTCGCTTGGTGGCTCGCACTTACCTTGCAGATGCCGTCGATGCACATGTTGTTCGTGCCCAGCGTACAGGGCGTGCCGTCGAGCACCGTCTCGCCCCAGTTAGCGATGATCGTATCATCCACGTCGCTGCAGAACAGTCGACACGGATTGTCTATAATACAGAGGGTTCGTATAGTTTCAGGTTAACTAACTTTAGTTTTTCATAATTCAAAGGCATCCATCCACTTTTAAGAGTACAATGTTGCTATGTAAGTGTGTTGAACCGGCAGTGGGAGCTGTGGTAGATCTCATGATCCCACGATGTATGCACAGCGTGTATCTAGCTTTATACGTCTGTCCGTCCGTCTGTCCGCCTGTCCGTCCGCATGATCGCACTGATTTCATTAACACTGGAAGTTGCGAACTTAAAATGTCAAATAAAAATTCTTTTCACCTCTGTTTCTTTGTTGTTTTCCGACCCTTTTCCTTAATTTTCCACTAGCGTAAGAGAATTGTGAAAAGGCCTCTATTAGCGGAGAATGCCTTAGGCTAAACACCTTCAGTTTTTCTGCCTCAATTCGCTGGTTCGTCCACAGCTGAATCTACTATGTCTACGAATAAGTTTCGAAAACGTTTAATCAATCTAAAAGTAAGATTTAGACCTTGGGCTAATTCAATTCAGATTTTCCTATTGGAATCTAAAGCATTTGCGCTTGAGGCTTTCATTTGATAAGACATCCATTTGGTAGGACATGCAGCATAAATATTTGAGTTTCCAAAAAGTCAAGAAGAAAGACAATGGAAATGATTGGATACCTCCTGCATAAGTGCACTTATCATAGCTAATGATTGTTCAGTCCATAGAGTTCTTTTTGCACTTACTCTTGTCGAAGAAGGGCAGCCACTTGTAGGTGGCGCCCTGGTAGCTGACATTGTCGTAGCGCGCACACTGCTGAGCCCGGAAGCTGGGCTGGTGCTCGGGGCAGGGCTTCTTGCGGCAGATCTTGTAGCGCTTGCGTTCGCCAATGCAGAAGACGCCGCCGTTGGCTGGAAGGGGGGAGTCGCATTCGCGTTGCTGTATGGAAACGCCACCGCCGCAGCTGCGCGAGCATTCGCTCCACTCGCTCCAGTTGCCCCAGCCGCCATGAATGGGCGTCAGCTCCTCCATGCGAACGCATTTGCCGTTCTGGCACCACTTGTTCTTGCCGCAGGCGGTGCCCGGCGCAGTTGGACGCATATTGGTGACACATTCGCCATTCACACGGCACCAGAGCGTCGAGCAGAACTCGTGCGGCGCGGAACAGGCGCCCACGTCGCTATCGGTAGTCAGATTGAACTGCATGCGGCACTGGCGCTTCGCATTGTAGCGCTCGCCCGGCAGAGCCTCCGGATAGTTGTACTCATCCAAAGGTGTGGGTGAATCATCCAGGCATTCACCCAATCCCTGGCTGCAGCACACAAGATTTGTAGCTCGAGTTATTAGCAGGAAACTTTTGTTGCTGTCTACTTACTCCAGGAAGTGGGTTATGTATTTCCGACTGCAGTTCGACCAGCAAACCTGCAGCGTATCCGCCCCAAAGGTCGGCGTCATGATGTGGACTATGGAGCCGACACGTGGATGGCAGCCGATCTTGGCCGTGTCGTGGAACATTCCAAAGCTAGAAAGGCAATTGCATCAAAAAAACAATTTTGGCAAATCAGCGCTTATCTTAATCGATAACCTACAGTACAGTTAATGGAAGCTGTGCAACATCACAAAATGTTTACTAAAGGCAGAGATCAAGGAACTGTTTTTGGTAAGTTTGGTATCGATTAGTTGATCGATTACAAGTTCGAATACAAATTTAGATCGATCATTTTGTTGATTCAAAGATCGATTACAATATTGTATCGATAAATGTATCGATTTCAGATTCATTTACAGTTTTGTATCGATATACTTCTTGATTTAAGGTTACTTTAAAATTAAGTAATATTAAGTATTAATATCAATGTTGACTGAAATATTATACATATCGATGGGCTTATCGATTTAAGGTTAAAGCTTAAGTTATCGATAATATTTCCAATTTCATCTTTAGCTGAAATGTTATATCGATAGTTTTGTATCGATTTCAATTTTGAACTATAATTGCTTATCGATAATCTTGTATCGATAAGAGTTTGAATTGATTAGGATATCGATGACACGCTTAACTCAACTTTTGGGTCGATCAATATTTATCAGATTACATGTTTATGGCTTTCAACTTAACCTACAACTGTGTATCGATATACTTATCGATTTCAGGCATTAATTTAATGATTTCGAGCTTATAAACTAATTCTGATCTTTAAAAATTGCAGGTTTTCGATACCGAATCAGCGATGTACGTAACATTATTACGCAATTGCGAGTGGATCTTATGTAAGCCTTCGTAGTGTGTCACTAAAACGAATACTCACACACAGACACACTCACACTTAAGGGCCCAAATCTCGATCAACATTGTTGCAGCAGCAGTAGCTAAGAAGACGCCCGTCTTGCTCTCCCCTATATTTAATCAGTCGAGATTTATTATTCGCATTGTCTTCGAGCAACGACAAGCAAACAAAAACAAATAATAATAATAATAATAATACAAAAATCAACAGCAGCAGCAATTTATGCCACGCTCTGCTGCTCTAGACTGCGGGCCAGTCAAAAACCTGATTATTAGAATAGTGCTTAAATCAGCACAGTACAAAATAAAACAAAAACAAATGCACACACACACTCACACACACATAGAGAGTCAGAAATAAGCATATCGTTAGCCAGCGGCTGGCACCTGACGATGACCGCGCGACCCAGCGACAATCAAACGTAAATTGCACAACAACAAACAAGTCACATTGAAGTACTCGACGTGCCAAGATACCCTATAATAGTCAATTGAATTAAATTAAATCAAATTAATTATGTTATCGATAAACATATAAATACATATAAACATATAAACATAAACATATATGATACGTTTCCTATTTTAAGATTAGTTCTGAAAAAATATTGAATATATATGAAGAAAAATAAACAACGATGAATTCGCTCAACTTTTTCGATAAATTGTTTTTCTTACTGTGCTAAAGATAAAAGTCGATAAGGTTTCCCTACTTTAAGCTTAGTTCTTTGCCCAACTCTTTCGATAAATTCCGATAAGATACAACAATAACCAAAGATGAAAGTTGTGTACACGACTAATCGATTGAACTCTTTTAATGTGTTATCGATAAAACTCGATAATGTAGTTTTTATACTCGATATGACAAATCACCTCAAAAATTTCGATAAATAGCTTCTATTATTCCGATAAAGTTAAAGAAGCATGTGAAAGCGATAACTTTTTCGATAACTATATTTCGTATAAGAATTTATTTATTGTAATCGATGTGTGTCATTCAAAAACAATATGATCATAAATATCGGTAGGGAAATTGATAACGATACACAAAGTAGTAAATTGGATTGAAATAATTGGTTCTTGGCAACTCCAGAAGTGAATGGACATGGACTCTCTACAATTAACTAGATTACAGGGTAGAATGACGATTGTGTCAGTGCAGCCGCTGGCTGATCCGTCCGGCTGGTTGACTCAATCGCAACACGCCAGACTGACGGGCACTTGGCTGCGCTTATAAGGCGTTTTACAAAAATCCACTTGGCACGAACACCAAACGAGATAAGCCTACGAAACCGGACAACTGCGACAGCCACTGGCTGTGCTACCAAATTGCTACGTACCTCCGTGCCTCCATATACATATCGATATATGTATGAGTGTGCGTGCATTAGGGATGGACACAAAACATCGTTTGAATTGACTAATTTTAGCAAGCATTCAAGCTAACGATTTTTTCGCGTTATGTATATATATATAAATATATACATATATATAAATATATACATATATATTTATATATATATATATATATATATATATATATATATATATATATATATATATATATATATATTATTTATATTTAAAATATATGAATATAGCTTTTTAATCATTCTATAAATTTATGTATATATAGAATGATAAAAAATATATATTTTAAAATATTAAAATTAAATTAATTTTTGAACTTAATCTAACTTAAAATAAAAATATTGCCATTGAAGGCAATTGAGCAACAAGAAAAAATAATGGCTACAAGCTAAAGATAGGCTGAACTTCTTCTGACCTAAGACGAAGGTTTGCATATAAAAAATTTATGTGAATCTAGCGATTTATAACTACATGTCCATCTCTAGCTACATGTGTGTGTGTTAGTCACTGGTTCAGCGACTAATTGAGTTTGAATAGCGCAGCAGCAGGGCGGCAGCTACGGCAACTGCGGCTGCAAGGCATTGGGAAGGAGGGTAGCGGGGAACGGGCAGTGGAGATGCTTGTTGGCATATAGAGGACGGGCGGTGGTAGGAGACGCTAGGGGAGGGGCGGACGCTCGTGTCGACTGTGGGCGTGCAACGCAGGCGATCATTGTCACAACACACGCAGGTGTCAAAGCATCCGTCGCGTTCACTTAAGGCAGCCATTCATTCAGTTTCTTGCTGCTTGCATGTTTGTTTGGTTGTTTGTTGTTGTTGTTGTTGTTGTTACTGTTGCTGTTGTTGCTGCTGCTGCTAGTTTGATTCATTCATTAAACGAATTGGGCTGCACATAAATCTTACGGCTGCCCGCTCAATTGATGCATTTGCATTGCGTTGGCCAAGCGACTGGTTGGGAAGTGCATTTCGATGTTGGCCAACAACGATGTTGGCCAAAGAGCAAGGGGCAGGAGGGGGATTGGGGATTGGGGTAGTAGTACGGAAGTCTATTGGACTTACTTGTGGCCCAGTTCGTGCGTGATCGTGTGGGAGAGCATGATGCCGTTGTCCTCATTCACGCTGCACGATTGCTTCGGCTTGCACATGCCGCCCACATTGGCCAGTCCCAAGGTCCTGCAAGGGGCACGCAATTAGTATTAGCCAGATATGTCAGATACCAGCGAGACGTGGCTCTATATCACTCACATGCAGTTGTTGCCACAGATGTTCTTGCGCGTTATCAGTATGGCCACGTCGTGATGATGCGGATCGTTCTCATTGAGCGTGTTCAGCTTGTGCTGCCAGCTGCAGAAGCGATCGAGATTCCTTTGCGCATTCTGCGTGAGATTCAGCTCCGGTTCTGTATCATTCTCCTGCAGCTCAATAATGCGGACCACAACGATTTCGATCGCATTGCCTATGCTGGGATCTTTGTAGAGGGCGGACACCATGTTCATGATGGTCAGCAGATAGCCAACGACATCTTTGTGAAATGCCGACATTGTGGCGTCTGCCACGATCAGCGTTTCCACGTGCCGTGGACTGCTGATCGAGCGGCGACTGCGCTCCACGTGCGTCTGCTCCTCCAATTGAGTTTCATATTTGAATTTCGTGTGCGGATGCTTGTACCCATGATGATGATAATGGAGCTGCGGCTGCTGCTCCTTCTGCTGCGGCTGATGATGGTGATGACGATGATGACGTCGCAACTTACGACCGCCTTGTATCTTGAATTTTCCACGCGCCTGCCACTCGAGTCGCGTCTCCATGCGGCGCCTAGGCTCGCGTGTGCCACAATTGCTAATCGGACTGTGGCTCTGGCTCTGGCTGTGGCTGTGGCTCTGGTTGCGCAGCTGGTCCTTGTGCCGCTGCTCCTTGCGCCTGCGCTTATGTCGACGCCAGTGCTGATCGGTCTAAGCCAATACAAAGACAAACATAAATAAGTGTATGTATGTGTATGTGTGTGTTGTCATCATTTGTATGGCTTACCTTCAGCTTGGGCTTGGGCTTAACCGAGGACCGCTGGAATACTACATGCGGATGACCGTTGATTGGATGCGCCGCATGCTGCTTAGAAGGCTCTATGTAATACTCATTGTTGGCCGTCTTAATGTGGCCCACCTGGCAAAAAAATTAGAGCAACTAGCGAAAATCAGGGCTGAACAGAAAGACTTAGGCGACAAACTTGCTTAAAACAAATGACTTAAGCAAAAAACTTGAAATAAAGTTTATATGAATGTATAAATGTATGAATGTATGGATGTATGAATGTATGAATGTATGAATGTATGAATGTATGAATGTATGAATGTATGAATGTATGAATGTATGAATGTATGAATGTATGAATGTATGAATGTATGAATGTATGAATGTATGAATGTATGAATGTATGAATGTATGAATGTATGAATGTATGAATGTATGAATGTATGAATGTATGAATGTATGAATGTATGAATGTATGAATGTATGAATGTATGAATGTATGAATGTATGAATGTATGAATGTATGAATGTATGAATGTATGAATGTATGAATGTATGAATGTATGAATGTATGAATGTATGAATGTATGAATGTATGAATGTATGAATGTATGAATGTATGAATGTATGAATGTATGAATGTATGAATGTATGAATGTATGAATGTATGAATGTATGAATGTATGAATGTATGAATGTATGAATGTATGAATGTATGAATGTATGAATGTATGAAGTATGAATGTATGAATGTATGAATGTATGAATGTATGAATGTATGAATGTATGAATGTATGAATGTATGAATGTATGAATGTATGAATGTATGAATGTATGAATGTATGAAGTATGAATGTATGAATGTATGAATGTATGAATGTATGAATGTATGAATGTATGAATGTATGAATGTATGAATGTATGAATGTATGAATGTATGAATGTATGAATGTATGAATGTATGAATGTATGAATGTATGAATGTATGAATGTATGAAGTATGAATGTATGAATGTATGAATGTATGAATGTATGAATGTATGAATGTATGAATGTATGAATGTATGAATGTATGAATGTGAGAATGTATGAATTGATTGTATAATTGTATCATTGGATGAATGTGTAGAAGTATGTATGCACATTAAAAAATAGTACAGAAAAGCCAAGATGATCCGCTAAATAGTTAAGCATTTGAACTTGTTTATACATTGCACTCTTCTATTCGATTCTGTAACTTTATAATCTCAGCTTTTAACCTTGTGGTTTCAACTCTTGGAGGTATCAAGCTGAGCATCGCATAATATATATTGAGTTTGTGATTGGAGTTACTCACCAGACCGGAACATGTGGATATGGCCACATTGGCTGAGGGCTCGCCGCGCACCTTGCCGTGGAAATGGCAATTGAGCTGCTGCGCTGGCGGCGGCGCACGTGTGCGCAGATCCCGACGATGTCTCTCCACAATCAGATGTGGCGCCAGGAAGTAGCTGTGAGCTCTGCGATATACAAATGCAAACAATTAATGGCGTGGACCGCTGCTGGAGCCATCTATCTCTGCCAGCCCACTTACGTCAGCTCCAGGTGCAGCGTCTCGTCACGCAGCGGCAGCTCGAAGTGCAGCTCCGGCTCTGTCGCAACGCTGCGTCGCTGCCGCCTGTGATCCCGGTCGTGGGCGTAGTGGAGCGTGTGCGTCATGAAGGCGCCATCGGCATGCACGCGCCGCGGCACAACCAGCTGCCCCTCGCCATCCACCAGCTCCTCCGTGTGCAAGCCAAAGAGCGGCTCGCAGCCGCCATAGCTGAACCACAGGCAGAGCAGCGTGCTCAGATAATAGCGTTTCATATTGTCTCCTCTCAAGTGCGCACAACTTTATTTCTCCTTCTCTAACTGTCTCTTATACTCTCTACTCTTGTGTTATGTTCTTGCTTTGTCCCTCAGGCCCTTAGCCGTTGTCCATGCGTTTTAGCAGCTTGGCAATTAGCGGGCACATGGCAGGCGCCCAAATCCAATCGCGGCCAGGTCCAATCAGGGCATCAGCTAAGGCAGAAATAAATAAATAATATTAAGATATATATATATATATATATATATATATATATATATATGTATATATGTCAGTCTGTATAATCTGCATTGGCTATGCCATTGAATGGTTTTTGTCAAAATGTGTGTAACAGGCATATATATATATTCCTGATCGAAATCGGTGTAGTCCAGTCTATATGTCCAGTCTATCTCTATCGATCTCAGCATCTATTTGAGCTAGAAACTTGCCATTGCATGTCGAGTTTGTTGCAAGTAATCGATACCTGTTTCCGCTTTATTGTTATCGATTTTAAACATCATCGAAGTGCAGTTAATAAATTATATCCCATACGGCTTAAGAGCTAGAGCTTTAAAATTTTTCTTTTAGTTTTATGTATATTTTATACAATTTTGATTTTTGTTCGATTTTGGACACCTGCTCCAATTTTTATATTTTGTTCAGTTAAGATTATAGCCAATATGTGAAAGAGCTTGCATTTTTACTCATTTGGTAAATACTCCCATGGTACATGTAGATCATGTGCTGAACATTTTATTGAAATCCGATAAGTAACACAGAATTTATTAAGCCAAACGTTTGGCTCAGCACAAGCAGGTGGCAAGAAGTTCCTATACATGTGCACACATACATTCAAAGCGTGCATTCTTTTCTATTCAAAGAATCAAGAATGATTTGTGCTTGAATTGTCAACGACTACTTTAGTTCAGATTTGCCATTTCATACAAGAACAGTGCAGTGGCAGTGTTGGTAGAGGCAGCGCATGTTGCCGAAAAGCTCAGGGTACAATATGAAGTCGCAATGTTGGCAGACTTGATGCGCGTTGCGTAGGAAGATGTTGGTGCGAGTCTCGGTTTCCTAATGTCGACATTGATTTGTCTATGGAAAATATTCAAAAACGCAATTGGACTGGGATCTGTTAGTCAGGCACCCCGACTAGATCTGTCGTTGTTGATTAATCAATTTTGAATTGATTTTTCAGTTTTTTTCTCTCATTTGAAAACTGATATATTATATTTATCACTTTGCATAGATATTTCTCAGACATTTTCAATATTTTTGTTGTTTGTTTGTTATACAAAACGGGAGAACCACAAATGTTATGCTGTTAGACAAAAGTTTTTTTTGTTCTTCTAAAATTTTATCATATTACAACGCACATCAGAAATATTCCGTGTCAAATGACAGCAGCTGTTTCTTAGATTTATTTGTTGAATACCCAAAAGCTTTCAGATTGCTTGAAGTTCTCAGACTGCTAAAGAAAAAGTTCATATTTAATACATCTGTGTTTAGGGAACCAACTTGTCGAAGCCAGATTTATACATAATATATACAATTTATACAATAGAGAGAGAGAGAGAGAGTGAGAGGTCGAGAGCTTTGATCCTTGCAGGGCACTATGCGGTAAAGTTAAAGCTTTAGTGAAAGCAACAACTTCAATAGAAATAAGCTTTTGAATGTAAGCATGGTCTTTAGCAGCTTTATGCCTCTGCAGGAGTGTTTGCAGTAAGGTTTAATACAGGGCTTTTGCTGAAGATTACTATTGATATACGTCAGCTCTCAGAAATGCTTGTAACATCCATTAAATTCAAGCTTTATTCCATTGAAATGAAAACTTTAAGCGAAAATTTCATTGATTAAGCAAATCAGTATCAATAACTTAGCTTTACGCTTACAATAAGGCAATAGCATGAGTGAATTGAATTATTTAAATATATTTAAATATTGTGTACTTTAATGGCGGAAAGGGTATCAACGAGTCGAGCATTCACGTGTTCTATCAGCTGGGCAATGAAACGATCAAGTCGACGCCACTGGCAGCAAGTGTCATTGCGATTTTGAGCACTTCGCTCGGTTAACAACAATAACAACTGCGGCAGACTGACAACAACAACAACAACAACAACAACAGCAGCAACAACAATTGACAACCACAGTTTGGGCCACTGTTGCAGGCAATGCATTCAGATTGAATTTCAATTGTGCGCATTTCATCAAAAGCTGCTGCTGCTGCTGTTGCAACTGGAGGTAGTAGCAATTGTTGCTGCTGCGGCAACAATTTTTATGGTTGGGGCCTTGGCGCCAGGCATTTTTGATTGGCAGCTCTGCTCAGCGACTGACATCGGATACAGGACACTTGTGCTGCGAAGTGCCATGAATGATGCAAGCCCGATCGGGCCAGACAACAATTATGGCATAAATTTCTACGAAAATATGCAACAACAGCAACAGCAACAGCAGCAGCAAAAGTGGAGAGAAAAAACTATTTCCAGCTAATAAATAAAAGCTGATTTGCTTTTAGCTTTTAGCAAATGCTGGCTGGGGGGCAAAGGGGACTGCCCAATGTGACTGTGACTTTGCCTGTGTCTGCCTTTGTGTTTGTGTGCGATTTTTTTTCGGACAGTCCCACAGTGCCAGCCAGACAATGGGCTAACCAAATTTTTAGCTAAGAAACGGGCAATAAAATTAAGCAAATAATTTGAAAGCGGCGCTTCAAAGGTAAACATTAAAGCAGAACAATAACGAGCTGTGTGTGTGCGTGTGTGTGCCTAAGTGTGAGTGTGTGAGTGTGTCAGTGTGTGTGTATCAAAGCAATACACGACAACTTAATTATTCAATAGATGAGCAAATGACACGAAGTCGGAGAAGATCGCAGATCGCAGATCGAAGGCTAGTGGGGGGAGCCTAGGGGAGGGCCAAGTGAGGAGTCCGTCTAGCCTGTTATCACGATCACGATTTGTAATTTATGATAAATGTTGGCAATTCCATTAATAAAATTAAATAAAGCTCATTAGCTGGCAACAAACAAACGAAATAACATTTTTTTATATCCAAAATATATTTTTATTTTTTTATTATTTTTCGTTTTTGTTTTGTCATGCGCCAAACGTGTCGAGCCAACCGAATTGAGCAGCAGCTCGCAGCCCTATACTCTATGGTATTTTCATTAGTATTATTATTATTAATATTTATTTAACATTTCAAATTATTTTTGTTAAAAATCTTAGCATTGCGTCGATTTCATTATCATTAGTAACATCATTATCAGTATGATTATTATCATCATCGTGATTGTCTTTATTATTATCATAGCCTGACCTGTCAGGAACTCTGGGGAGAGAGCGCAACTAAAACATAAAGAAGCACCCCATAGAGAGGAGCAGGAGAAGGAGCTCATTCCTATTATCATTCTCACTATTATAAGTCATATAAATACTGTTGCCATTATCATCATCGTCATCATTATCATGGCTCACATGACCGATGACAAATGCAAAGGACCCACCCTTTGTTGAGCAGGGTATTTCGAGATTTTTGAGAGGCGCCTGTAGCAGGCGCCGTTATAAATTAAATTCAAATTGAATGAAAAAACCCAACGTGACAATAAAATTCCAGTTTTTGTTTCTCAGTCGAGTCTAGCTCCCAGTTCCCAGTTTCCAGTTCTTTAGTTCTCAAAGTTGGGAAATATTTCCTATAGACAATTGCGGCGAAACTTGAAAGATCTGCACACAATTAGCAAGCGCCGCATTGTCATATGCTAAATACGCTAGAGACAGAGACTCGATCGCTATGTCTCTCTCTGTCTCTCTCTCTCTCTCTCTCTCTTTCTCTCTATTCCTCTCTGTGATATTCTCCAGTTGCTTTCTCTATTCGAAGCCGGCTGTCGCCATACGTTTGCCCATTATGCTGCAGTGCGTCGGCTAGCGGGCGCCACATTTAATTATCAATCAATCACATTTGACGGCTCCCTCCATTAAATGTCAGCCAATTGATTGAATTTTCATTTGGAGAACGACAAACTGTGCTGTGCTGTGCTGTGCTGTGCTGCGCTGTTTGACGCGGGCCACTGGCGATAGCTATTATGGCCGTAGCTATTGCTCTGCTGCTGTGCTCCTGCTCATGCCCCTCGCTCTGTCCCATTCAACCGTTCTCTGCACTCGCTCACGATTGATCAATGTTGTTGTCTGACTCGCTGATTGATGAACTGCATTCGAGTGCATTGCAATGGGCATTTTGCAGCCTCAAGCTCCGCTCAGCCAATCTCTGCTCCTCGCAGATGGATTTGGTTTCTGAGTCGTGAAGTCTGAATGGAAACACTATTTCCATTTCTGTCCCCCTTTCACCTCCTATAACGATGATTTAGTGAGCGCATGGCATTCATTCCAATATTGATGTATCTATCAGGCTGGACAAATTGATCTACTGACTTCCCATATCTATATAATCTTGCACTCTAAGATATTTAGATATTGCCAAAAGACATTTCTTTCTCTTTCCCAAAAAACTAGCAGACAGATGGGCGATCTAGCCAAGGGAGTTGCGACAAGTATTGATATTATTTACTTACAGACAATGCATTTCCTTTTATGGGCAGGCTAGACTTCAATTCACTTTTCTAACTTATTTAGTTTGGATGATGAAATCGTGATCGAAAGGCGATCGATTTCTCGATGGAAAAGCGCCAGTTACTGATCAATGATCTACGTAGCGCCTATGGAATAGATCACTGACTAAGCGTGACTGAACCTCGTATTATTCTGGTGAATCACTTGGACCCACGCTTCGCATGATCTCACATAGTTTCTCTTATTAGGCTGTTTTCCTCCATTGCCAATTTCACTCTGGTCCAAATGTGATTTGGCTCCATTGAGTAGCAAACACGCACACACGTACGCTTCGTATGTGCTTATTAAATTTATTATTATTATATATAAATTTATTTGTTTTTCGTCAATGGCCGGCGTTGGCGTTCCAAAATTGACATTTGTCAACAGCTTTGTTGACGCTTTGCTTAATTTATTAGCCACGTTTTGTTGTCGCTTTACATTTGGCTTGGCCGCTCGATCACATCACCATCTCGATAATGATCACCGATAATGATCATCATATGTGGGGCAAAGACAACCAGCTGCGAGCTGCGAGCTGAGAGCTCCACTGTTAGCTCATCTGGACTTTGTATGCAAATAGTGCGACCAAAAAGAATTTGAGAACAAAAAAACACGAGAAAAACAAAATGAGAAAAATAGTCAAATTCGGCTAGCCACATTTCGAATCACATATTTTGGCATCTTTTCTTCCAAATCAATCAAAAACCATTCGATTGTATAATAGGCATATTCTCAAGTAGATCTTAAAACTAATCCTCTCCAAAACTGGGAGTTGATTACGCCTTGAGAGAAACTTTATATGGGCACCTCATAGTTCAAGCATATAATGTAATTAGTTATGTCTTAGAGAATAGAATATAGAATATAGAATATAGAATATAGAATAGAATATACAATCAAACAAATTTCAATACTTTTTATACGTATATAAAAAAAAAAATGTTTTCTGCTCGAAAATTGGGAAATTTCTTTGTTGCATTTATTCAAAAAAGTTTCTCATGTTTCGCAGAAATTTTCTTACAAAAATTATTACAAATTTAACAAAAGATTTTACAACGATTTTTAAGATTGATAAGATTTTTAAGGATTCTGAAAATCTGGTTACATCATTTCTCCAGAGACCTAATTATTTCCAAATGCTTCCAAGACAATTCAAAAATTGTAGAAACATTTTCAAAATATACCGAAAATTTCTATAGATTCAAAGCATTTTAAAGATTTCCGTAGTTTTTCAGATTCCCAAAAATGTAGAATAACTTTCTGGAGCGCTCCACAAAATGTTGAAAGATTTCTACAGCTTACACCAAGAAAGTCAACGCTAAACAATAAAAATTTCTAAGGAGCCTGAAAGATTTTCATGTCTTCCGAAAAACTGCTTCAATGGCGTAGAGCTTACCAGAAATGCCGAAAAGCTTGAGAAAAATCTCCTACATTCTTAATGATGTTTAAATATTCTCGAAGATTTCAAAGATCATTTGCAACGATCGTAAAGAAGCTTTCCGAGTGTGGCTGTGTGTGTGAGTGTGTTCTACGCGCTTCATTGGATAACATCTGCCCACGAGCCATATGGCTAAATCGTTTAGAAAATGGCAAATTATGAGACGGAGATGGAGGCGGAGGCGGAGACGGAGACGGAGACGGAGCCCTGACGGGCTTATAGAAAGATTTCACTTGGATGGCGAGACCAAAGCCAATTTGTACGCCTACTAGACAGCACATACATAGAGAGAGAGAATGAGAGAGAAGAAGTGGGAGAGGAAGAGGAAGAGCGAGTGACTCTTCCATATTGCTGTGTGGCTTCATTCACATATTTTTTTTTCATTCATGCGTTTAGCTCCATTGAGACACACACACACACACACACACACACACACACACACACACACACACACACACACACACACACAGACACACACACACACACACACTCGCACACACGCACACCCAATGCGAGAGACACAGCTTTTATTTTTATGAATGAAATGAAACTTTGGAGCGTAGTAAAACGCGAAACGATGTGAGCAACGAGCAGCGAGCAGAAGGCAGAGGGGGCCCAGTGGAGGGGCGGGCTGACGTCTGCTCTGTCCAGATCGCACGTAACTCCAAGCATATGTGGATCTAATGTTGTTGTTGCCGTCTCGGGGCATATTTTAATTTCTTTAGTGGCGGGCGTCTCCGCGTCGGTGCCAGAGCATGTGGGCCGAAAATGTATTTTTTATGGCGACGTTTCATTTTTTTCTTGTTTTTTTTTTATATATTTTTTAAAGTTTGTTTCGCTCTTCGGTGCTGTTGCTGCTGTTGTTGTTGTTGTAGCTGATGCTGTTGTTGTACAACAAATGCAGGCCATAAATTTTGCACAGGCGTCGCTCGGGATGGCCACGGATCGTCAGCAAAAGAAGGGGCGGAAAGCATGGGGCGTGGCATGGGGTACGGGAAGGGAGCGGGCAGCGGCGGGTAGTTGGAGCAGTTGAACGCACTGCAGCCCACAAAAAACGTTATAACAAATCATTTAATTTGTGTTTGTTTTTTTATCTCTTGTAGCATGGAAACAATGTTGTTGCTGCTGCTACTGTAGCTGTTGTTGTTGTTGCTGTTGTCGCTACCGGGCAAAAAACATACGCAGCGCTTATTTTGACCATTTTTGGGAGCTGCTGGTGGCATTTATTTGGTCTGACGACGCCTGGCTTCGTGTATCTAGCAGATACACAAAAACGCTTGTAGATATAAGCTCTGTATCTGTAGCTCTAGCTGTAGCTGTATCTGAATCTGTATCTCCGTATCTCTAGGTTTATCTATATGTATATGTATCTCATGATGTACCTGTATCTCTAGCTGTAGCTGTATCTGTATATGTATCTTCAGATGTATCTGTATCTGTATCTCTAGAAGCAGCTGTATCTGTATCAATACCTCTAACAATATCTGTATCTGTATATGTATCTCTTATTGTATTCGTATCCGTATCTGTATCTGTATCTGTATCTGTATCTCTAACTATATATATCTATATGTGTGTGGCTGAGATCACACAGGAAATTAGCTTGAAATATCGCCATCGTTTGCCTTACTTCAAACCAACAAAAAAACATTGAGCAACAACACGTAAAAAGAAATATAAAATAAAAAAAATCAAAATGCTGAAAGAACTCCAATTTTCGATGTAGTTTTGAGCTAGTAACATATCGAAACTCCAATCAAAGCTAACTTTTCGATCTTAAATTGTCCAAATAAGCTGTTTTTAAAAGTATTAATTAATTTTGGCATTTTATAATAAAAGGAAATTTCAATAAAATATATTATACAATTTTAAAAACAACATTTGTGACATGGAAACTTTTTAAGTATTTCAAATGCTGCCAAAAAATTATTATAGGGAAATTCTACAAACAATTAAAATCTATTTGAATCTCCTACAACAGTTGCAAATAAAAAATAAATATTTTCTCGTTTTCCTCTCTATTTTTAAGAGTATAATAAATAACAATAGAAATTTGCTTAAGATCTTTGTGCCTTCTTATTTAATATAAGTTTTTTTATGTGGAATTTGTTCGTAAAAATCGTATAATATGTTATATTATATACATACTATATATAATCTTATGACAACTATTCAGCAATGAAATCTTTTGAATCTTTTGAATAATAGAGTAAGCTAAAAAAAAAGCATTTACTTCTATAATAAATGGTGATTGCAGTAAAAATCTAAATGAGTTAAGCTTCTGCTATGAGTCAAAATCTTTATGGATAAACAGTTTTATTCCATATTTTTTAAATTTCTTCTGCATACAAATTGTAAATTCAAAAATTAAAAATTATATATATAGAAAAAAAATATATATATATATTAAGAATCATGATTCTATAGATGGACTAGATTCGTTGCACGATACTCACCCTAAGACTGCTGTTGTTTCTTTTTATATATTTTTGTTTCTTTTGTTTGTTTGTTTTTATTTATTTTATTTTATTTTATTTATTTATTTATTTTCTTTTTTGGCTCTGAATGAAGCCCGTAAAGATGTCAACCGCAAATGCCGACGTTCTTACTGATTATAGTTATGATGATAATGCTGATGTTGATGCTGATGATGATGTCAGGTAAATACTGTGGGGAGCGACGGCGATTTGGGTCGTCTGATTCGCAGCACAAAAAAACAGTAAACAAAAAAAAAATATATATGAAAAAAAAAACGACAACAAGAAGTGAGATAAATTTGTTTGCGCCGGCGATGACTAACCGATTTTCAATATTGAATTAGTTTTCGTCACTTTTTAATTCTGTTGTTGTTCTTGTTGCTGTTGTTGGTAGGGTTCTTATTGTTGCTGCGCATGCGGCACACGCGCTGATAAAAAAAGCGAGAAGCAAAAACAATGTGAGAACAAAATTGCACGAGCTGAAATTAATTTACGAAAAAAATCCATTAAAACGCAAAACAATCAAAAGAAGTAGAAAAAATGGAAAGAAGAAAACAAAAAACAAACAGCGTTTGGCGCGCGTTTTGTTTTGTTTTTTTTTTTTTTTTGGTTTGTGGTTTGTTTATCGATGCCAATTTCAATTTCAATTTCAATACAATGCGAAGCGAAGCGATGCGATGCGATGCGATTCGATTGCGAGTGCTTATGCATACACTAACATACACACTCACACACACACACACACGCGCACACACACGGACACGCCGGCGCAGTCGCCGTTCGGACTCAAACTAAGTGAAAATTGCAAGCGGCCACTCGTTTTATTCAAAGGAAAGATTGGGGAGCCCAGCCAGAGTCACAGCCGTAGCCCAATAAGCCGAACCAGTGCCGGTCGCACGATCAAGCTAAACCAACGCACGAACGAGCAAACGAACGAACGAGCGAACGAATGAACGAACGAGCGAGTGAGCAGCGCAGCTCCCGCAATGATTTTGCTGACGGCAGCGACGGCGCGAGCGCTCACTCAATGGAGTCAGCGGCGTCAACGTCGGCGTCTTAATGCCGCGCCAGCTGCATGTGACCCCCAGCGAACACCCCACCAAAAGGAAATGCGAGTGCAGTCGCCGTTGCTGCCGACGTCGCAGCTGGCAGTGACCCTGTCGTTGAGGCCCATTATCAGCATTGTCATCGGGCGACTCTGCTTTAAGCTTTCGTTGTTGTTGGTTTGATTGTTGTTGCAATGCGTGGCGCTATCAGCGAGGCAGCACATACACACATACAAATACACATACGTATGCATTAGTATGTGTGTGTGCTTGTATATACATTTAGGTAATTATAATCATATCATGCATATCTCTGTTTTTTTTTTCTCTTTCCATTTTCCTTCTTTTAGTTCTTTATGATGCGCAGAAATAGTTGCCTTATCTCGCTCCAGTTCCAGAAACTGCCACAGAGCGACGACGAGGCGGCGCCGCCACGGCGCAGTCAAGGACGACACCGTTAAATTGTGCAGCACAGCACGCCAGCGCCAGCGGCGCCAAAAGGGGAGTAAATTGTTTAAAATTATCACATTGTAAAAGAAGACCAGAGCCGACTGCAGACGGGATCTGCGCTGAAGAGGATCATTAACAATGCGCTGGGGCGCGCAAAAATAGCCACGGGCAGAACAAATCACATTATTAGTCGGCGTCGGCGTCAGCGTCGGCATCTGCGTCGACGTCGACAGCGACGTAGTTGCACGTTATTTTTAAAAATTTGTTGTATGGCGCCCCGTTTGATTTTTAGGCGCCAAGCGGCGGCAAATTGTGGCGACACGTCTGCAGCGGGAGCACCAGCATCAGCAGCAGCACCGACAACAGCAGCAGCAACAACAACAAAATGCATACAAAAACAAAGATACAAGATAAGCGCAATTCACGGAGAGGCGCGACAGCCAGCAGACGCCAGCTTCAAGACGCGTCGCGCAGCATCGCCAACGCCGCCGTCGCCGCTGATCTCGATGCCGATGCCAACAGATATCAAGCACGTCTCAATCTCGAATCATTCAGGGCCGGGCCGCGACTTGGCCAGAAAGGTTTTTTGCCGCCAACGCCGCTCAATTAACAATGAAAAGTCGGTCTGGTACGTCATAATATATTTTTATCTGATTACCAGGCAGTAGACGCCAGACTAGCCACAAATCGTGCGTTGGCACAAACACAACCACAGACGCGCACACACACACACACACACATATGTATGCATGACTACCTCCCAAGCATCATCATCCTTGCTATCTGTGTGCTTGTATGTGGTTTTTTTCGCGTGACTCTCATGTCAGATCTTTAATCAACAAATCTCACTTGTGGCGCCGCCGGCTCATCAATGTGACGCCACATGCGTTCACCTGTGTATATAGACATTTGTATAGGTTATATATATACATATATATATATATATATATGTATGTAGTGTGTGTGGCGCCAACATTGTTAAGCATCGTGCACATTTGCAGCTGAAATTGTGCTACATTGTATGGCCAGGTAGCATGACCTGTTGCCCCTTGTCTATTTTTTAATGATGACACTGCAGACGACTGAGTTGCCTGCTGTGCAATCCCTATTTGAAATTCCAATTTGAATTTAAAATTGAAAATCAAACATGTTTTAACGTTGACATGTGAATGGACATCCCACTTGAAGAAGTAAACAAACTGTGAACAGCTGTACACACCGTGGCACTACCAGGGCTGCAGCAATTTAAAGAAACTAATCCGATATGCAATAATACACTTAATGTAATTAACCTACACGAGTTTATAAACATATATTATATATTAATAAAATTTAGTTAAATTTGCTTATCGATCAAATTAAATTTTCGAAATAAACTTTTAGCTAGCATATGCAATAACTAGTGAGCGAATTTTTATAAGAAATGTAATTGGACAGTTCTATAAAAGTGCAATGCATTCGAATATAATTTTTAATAAAAAAATGTATTAGGGCAAGGTCCTCCTCTTGCATCATCTATGAGCAGCATACTAAATGCTTGCGTTTAAATGCGCCGCGCATTAAATCAGCTGTCAAACCAACAGCTGGCAACCCTGTCCGCACAGTTACAGTGCGACTGTCAAAAACGATAAAAAAAAGTTGTCTGCTCGGCATTAAAAAATTTCTGTAGCGCTGCTAAATATTTTCCAGCATATCGGTAAGTTCTGTTTAGGCTCGAACATAAGCTGAATTGGTAAGAGCTTGATTAACTGGCAACCAGTGGCAGGCAGCAAGAAATTGATATATGGCTAAAAGTCGATGCACGGCCTGCTTGCAACTTATGTAATTGCCCATAAAGTAAATGTTGTTTGTGTTGTGTATTGATTTGTTGCAGAAAATATGATACGTGCACCGCTTGTGAAGGCGCTGGGCGCACTCGGCTCTCCCACACACCAAATTGCTAGCCGAGCAGTGCGCACCAGCGCCGTATTGGCTCAAACACCGGCCAAGGCGCCCGAGAAAATTGAAGTTTTTGTCGATGATATACCCGTAATGGTGCTGCCAGGCACTACAGTACTCCAGGTGAGCAACTGAACCTGCCATTACATACAGTTATTTCCAACTTTCTCTCTATTTCTTTCTCTTTACTTCCCAGGCTGCTGCTGAGGTTGGCGTAGAGATTCCACGCTTCTGCTACCACGAACGGTTGGCCGTCGCTGGAAATTGTCGCATGTGCCTCGTAGAGGTAGAGAAGAGTCCTAAGCCAGTGGCCGCCTGTGCGATGCCCGTGATGAAGGGCTGGCGCATTAAAACTAACTCTGATTTGACACGGAAGGCACGCGAGGGCGTCATGGAGTTTTTGCTAATGAATCATCCGCTCGATTGCCCCATTTGTGATCAGGGCGGCGAATGTGATCTGCAGGATCAGGCCATGGCCTTTGGCTCTGATCGCTCACGCTTCACGGATATCAACTACACGGGCAAACGGTAAGCATTACAAAATTAAGAAGAAGCTCTAGATATTAATTTGGTTACCCTTAGTGCCGTGGAGGACAAGGATATTGGACCGCTGGTTAAGACAGTTATGACTCGCTGCATTCATTGCACACGCTGCGTACGATTCGCTTCGGAAATTGCTGGTGTCGATGATTTGGGCACAACTGGACGTGGCAATGATATGCAGATTGGCACCTACGTGGAGAAGCTCTTCCTCACCGAACTCTCGGGCAATGTTATTGATCTGTGCCCTGTCGGCGCATTGACCAACAAGCCGTATAGCTTTGTGGCCCGTCCCTGGGAAATACGTAAGGTAGAGAGCATCGATGTGCTAGATGCGGTTGGCAGCAACATCATTGTGAGCACTCGCACCAACGAGGTGCTGCGCATTCTACCACGCGAGAATGAGGATGTCAATGAGGAGTGGCTTGCAGATAAGTCGCGTTTCGCTTGCGATGGTCTTAAGCGTCAGCGCCTTGTGGCTCCCATGGTGCGTATGCCCAACGGTGAACTGCAGGCCGTCGAATGGGAGGGTGCACTCATCGCTGTTGCCAAAGCACTGAAGAACGCTAAAGGACAGATTGCTGGCATTGCCGGTCAGCTGGCTGATGTGGAGGCAATGGTGGCGCTCAAGGATCTGGTTAATCGTCTGGATGGCAACCAACTGGTTACCGAACAGGACTTCATCAAAGGCAGCGGCATTGATGTTCGCTCGAGCTACTTGCTCAACAGCACCATTGCAGGTATGAGTTATTGGAATGACAGGGTTTTGTCCAGCTTATCATATGACTTGTGCGCTTGATTTTAGGTCTGGAACAGGCCGATGCTGTGCTTTTGGTTGGCACCAATCCACGCTACGAGGCGCCTCTTGTGAACACGCGTCTGCGCAAGGCCTACGTACATAACGAGTTGCAGATTGCCTCGATAGGACCCAAAATTGATTTGTCTTACCAACACGACAATTTGGGAGCTGATCCCAACCTTGTGAAGGATATCTGCAATGGTTCGCATGCATTCTCCAAGGTTCTGGAGGGAGCCAAAAAGCCAGCCATCATCATTGGCGTCGATGTCCTGGAGCGTCCCGATGGCGCGGCCATACATGCCACCATCGCCGAGTACTGTCAGAAGCTAAAGAAGCCAGTGAGTCACCCATCGAGATGGTCGCGCATTTAAGGCATTCGATAGAATATAACAGTTGCTGCTTTTGTTTTCAGGATTGGAATCCCTTCAATGTGTTGCATAACAGCGCCTCTCAGGTGGGCGCCTTTGATGTGGGTTATCAGCCTGGTGTTCAGGCCGTATTGCAATCACAGCCTAAAGTGCTGTTCCTTTTGAACGCCGATGCTGGCAAAGTGAGTCGCGATCAGCTGCCCAAGGACTGTTTTGTTGTGTACATTGGTTCGCATGGTGATAATGGGGCGTCCATTGCGGATGCTGTGCTCCCAGGCGCTGCGTATACTGAGAAGCAAGCGATTTATGTGAACACTGAGGGCAGGCCACAGCAGACACTGCCTGGAGTTTCGCCGCCAGGCATGGCTCGTGAGGACTGGAAGATATTGCGCGCACTGTCCGAGGTTGTGGGCAAACCGCTCACCTATGACAATCTCGATGGACTGCGTGCACGCCTCGAAAGTGTGGCGCCACACCTAACGCGCCTCGGCGAACTGCAGCCAGCTAGCGGTAGTGACTCCGTCGCTAAGCCCGTAAGTACCATATGAGTAGATAGATATCTGGAGTCCCTGCTTATCTGTCTTCCACACCCATACACACAGAGCATATCCATCAGCAGCAGCCCCATCGACGTAAAGCAAAAGGAATTGCGCGACTATTTCATGACCGATGCCATATCGCGCGCCTCCCCAACCATGGCCAAGTGCATATCGGCGGTAAACAAGCAGCAGCGGCTGGACGAGGCTCAGCAATGCGCGGCTATCTAAGCACCGGCTGTGCCCCAACTCCGATCTGATCTGATGGCCTAAAACACATAAATATTAAATAATTAATGTTTTTTCCATTATATTTTTTTATTTTTTTTTTAATGCGTATCCAAACACTTTTTGCTCTTCGCTTACTATCGAATACTCAATCTTGTCGAGCAGCGAGCAGCGATCAGCGATCAGCGATCAGCGATCAGCGGGCGAAAGTGGAAAAGGGAATGGCGAATTAAAAAAAAAAGGAAGAAATGATGAAGATGAAGAGCTAGAGAAAACAGTTATGCCGGGGGGCGCCGAGCAGTTTGTAAATGTCATGAATTTGTTCAAAACAAAAACAATTATACAATTCGCAAATAGGAAAATAAAACAAAAATACAAGAAACACATAGTACATACACGGAAACTAAAATAAACGCGAAGTAGAAAAAATACGTAATTTATTGTTTGTGTGTGTGAGCCTCGTATTTGTATATAGCATCAATAGTTGTTGCATGGGCTGCTCACATCTTTTTGTATAGCTCTCTCGCTCTAGCGTTTGGCCCTCGCACTCTAATTGGTTGCTGCCTACTGGTGACAAGCTGCATTACTAAATATATCATTGATATTTATAAACTGGAACTTCAATGATCTGAGCTCACTGCAGATGTCGATGATAGGACTTAATAATAATGGATCATAGTTCTGGAACATTGAGCTATCAGACTTTCAGTGCATCCTTTGTATTAGAGCTATGCATACAAATCTTAAAGCTGTGTATGTTGTCATGCTGTTCAAGTACATAAACTTAGTTTTGTTGATTACATAAACTATTCCATCAAATAATACAATTGTCTGGTATGCGGGTAAAAACTTCTATTGTTCATATTTTTGTACCGTAAAAATACAGATTTATTTATTAATATTTAATCATCTTCATATAACATAATTTCGTAATTTTGAGTGCACACCGCACAGAGGCCGATACTTGGGAAGGAGGAAGGGGTGGATGTACGCTCAGTTCGACTGAAGCCGAAAGTCCTGCCCTTTGTCCTGACCACCGTTTTGTAAGTCGGCTGAGCTATTGTGTGTGTGAGTGTGTGTATGTTTATGTGTGTGTGTGCATGTTACTATCGAAACTAAATTAAAACTTGAACTTTTGTCGCTAAGCTGTAACAACTCTCAAATTCGTTGGTCGTATCACGGCATCTTTTTAGCCTAACCAGAAGCGAGTGTGTATGTGGGGATGTGCATGTGGCTGTGTGTGTGGGTGTGCGTGTGTGGGAAGAGAAATACAATCTGATGGAAAGTGTCTCCCCCGTTTAGCTGCAGCAGCTGGCGGGCGTTGGATCCAGACCGGAGCGCTTGGTGATGCTCAGACGTGTAAACTCCTCGGCGGTGGTCGGATGAATGCCCACGGTGTTCATCAGCGTGGGTATAGTCAGGCCTGATTTGAGGGCAGCGGCAAAGCCCTGGATAACCTCACCGGCCACTGGTCCCATATAATGTAGTCCATAGACGCGTTGTTCTCCGCTGCGCTGGGCTACCGCCTTCACATAGCAATAGCGCACACTCTTTTGAGGTATGAAGAACTCAGTGGGCTTGTAATAGCCATGGAATACCTCAATCTCTTCAGCACCGTACGTTTTTACAGCATCCTCCTCGCTTAAGCCAACACAAGCATACTCCAGCGGTGTGAACACAGTGGTGGCCACATCAACATAATCCATTCGTAGTTCAGAGTCAGCATACAGGCGACGGGCGAGAAGACGGCCGGCAAGCACAGCGACAGGCGTAAGCTCCGGTTTACCATAAATAATATCGCCGACCGCATAAATATGGGGCACATTGGTCGTCTCTTCGCAGTCCACCTGAATCTTGTCCTTGTGCGTCATTACACCGGCATTGTGCAAATTAAGATCATCGACCAGTCCTTTGCGGCCAATGGCCCATAGGACTGTATCAAAGACATCGCTGTCCACCTCGCCGGTCTCCGTGTTTTCGTACTTCACAAGCAGGCGGCCATCGGACTGCTTTTCGACAGACAACGGCACCGTTTTGCGTAAGAATGGAATGCCACGCTCCTCCATGGCGGCCGCCACTAAATTGGCCATCTGCTGATCAAAACCGCGCAGCACAATCGAACGCACCATCACAGTGGGCTCGTAGCCGAGACCCTTCAGGAAGCCGGCGCACTCCAAGCCAATATCTAGAAATTGTGAAATGGAATTAAATTAAAAAAGGAGTATTAAAATTAGGCTTAAGCCCACTTACAGCCAGCGCCGACGACCAAGGTCTTGCCAGGCTCATGATCCAAGCTGAATATATCATCGCTGGTAATGCCATACTCTACCGCTCCAGGTATATTCGGATAACGTGGACGGCCGCCGACAGCAATCACAAAGGTCTGAGCGGTAATGGTACGATCGCCGCTCTTCAGCTTGGCAGACAAGGTATGCGGGTCCACAAAGGAACCGAGACCATTGATGTACTCGACTTTTCTGCAAAGAAAAATCAGTATGGTTAACAAAGATTCAAATGAAAGTTAGATTGATCGTGTCATACTTGTCGCGCAGATCGACGCGAGTCACCCAGTTGACAGACTTGATGTGATTCTGCACCGAGGAGACGAGCTTGTTCCAATCAGGCTTGATTTTATCATCGACGTTCCAGCCATAGGCAGCTGCCTCGTGTACAGCTTCGCCTAGGAGCGACGCCTGATGCATAAGCTTCTTTGGTATGCAGCCGACATTGACACAGGTGCCGCCGACGCCCCATTTGGTGCCCAAGGGAGTTGGCTTCACGAAATCCAAGCAAGCAACGCGTGCGCCATGCGCCACAGCTTCCTTAGCACAAGACAGGCCCCCAGAGCCACCACCAATTACAACCAGATCATAATCATAGTTGCCTGTAAATAAAAAGGTTGTAAACGGGCAATTAGCAATTAGCAATCCACTTGACTTGGCAGCAGGGTCGAGCTACCCTTCAGCAGCTTGTTCAACTTGCTGGGATGTTGTTGCTTTTGGCGCAGTCGTATATCCATATATGCCGAGCGATATATGCTGCGTCCGTCAGCGGGCTGCTCGTCTGCGAGCGAGGCGGGCACAAACTCAAATAGATGCATTTGCCCGGCCACTGCGGCTCCAACTGAACCGTTTTACTCTAACTAGCAGCAGAAGTTGTTTTGATTGTGTCCGTGATTGTGATTGTGATAGTGTGCTCCTGGTGGTTAACTATGCACATGTCTGTCTGCGCTCTGCAAATCAATGTGGAGCAATCATTGTGAGCCCCGCCCTGACCTGAGGTTTGCTTTGGAATCCAATATGATTGCCATGGTAACGACTAAACAACTCGACGATTACACGCTTCGTGTTCGTGGTCAGCAGTAGGTTGAGGGGAACTTTACTTAGATAGAGCTATCAGGCAAGCAGCTAATCGAAAAGTGCTGCCAATTAGTAGTTGCTTATATCAAAAGTGTAATATCCGGTTTCAATTATAGCCCAAAGAGTGGAGTTCTTTAATAGATTAATCCTGTTTATCGATATAAAAAGGACAGACTCAACGAACCACATTTTCGCAATATATTGATATTACAGTTTGGCATTGTTTTATACGATTGAAATTGAAAAACAAACACAGATCGTTTTGTAAACAGATTGTATAACATATATGCATATGCCGATATTCGTAAATGTAAATGGCTAAAAATACAAAGCATCCAATGCTTAGCCTAGGCAAAAGTCCAATTGGAGCGGAACAAATCTGATAAGCGTAAGCAATTCAAATATCGAACCGAGAAAACAATGAAGTGTGGAAGCTTATCGAAGCGTTATAATGAAATCAACTAGAAAACGGCTATTTGTGATAGAAATATGTGAATAAGTGATCATCGCACATACAAATGTACATATATAGCAAATATATATTATAGGTATCGAGGTTTAGCCAAGGCTTATTAACATACAAAATATATATAAACAATAAAAAACGACATGCCAAAAGCTAATTAAATTACGTGCTGCTGATAAAGCAGCCAGCTCTTATTGACAACCCCTACACCCCTCACTCCACTCTTCCACCTTTTTATCCAAAATGTTAACACTAAACACGTCACCAACTCGTTGACATTTACAAAGCGAGCCCAAAGGAAGGGTATAGCAAGTCACGATTGCATTCTGATACGATATATTCACGATGACGGTGTGCTAAAGAAAATGACGATAATGATAATCATAATGACGTAATCAGTCTCTCACTGAGAGGATGTGCTTGTGAAATATCTAAAAACATAAAAATTCTCGAACAATCGCCCTGCCTAAGGCCAATTGAATTGTATCTTGTGAAATGCATGAAGAGCGATAAATTGCCACCCAGTTACAGTTAGAAAGTTAACGCCGTATGCCCTCAAGCTGCCCTCTGCCGCCAAACCCTTCTCAGTCTCGATCGTGACTATGCAAAATAGTTTTTTTTTATTGTCATTGGGCTTCATGGTGAGGATCACAAATAATCGATTGACGGTTCGATAAGCTAATCATGCGACGGTACGTGCGTAGCGGCGAGGGGGCTCTTAACAGTTATACAATAAATACATACACACAATCTGAATACGCACGTGTATGTGTGTGTGTGTAAGATAAAGACAGCGAGAGTGTAGAAGATAAAAACAGCGGACGTTTTGCGTTTGATCGTCAGCAGAGAGTTGAGATGCTTTTGGTGTGTATGGCTTACCTCGTAGTGGTTTAACCTTGCGAACAGGCTGTTGGTACATGGCCTGCCGATCGCAGTGTGGATGATTAAAGGGCGGCACATTAACGCCGGTATCGCTGGTCGAGCTTTCAAGGGAGTTGCGGCCGGCTTGCAAATTTTTGGTTGGATTGCGTCCAGACTGTTGCGAAGTACGTCGAGCGCCCTTGTCTGACAAGGCTGTGTTAGCTGGCTTCATTATTTTTGTTAGATTTCTTCGTTGTTGTGGTTGGAAACTATTGATCGTGTAGTATAAACTATTTGCAGCAAGTGTCGTAGTTGACGTTAAAATCGTCGCATGCTGGCGTACCAGCGTTACAGAAAATCTCGAATTCCACAGCGTGACCGACATGATGTATATAAATATTTATATATATACAATGTGTGTATTACCGTTGAATCACGTTCCCCCCAGTGGAGCACTAAATGTAACCACTTGTTTAATCTAGCTCTGGTAAAATTATCAAGTTGTTTATTGCGGTACACGATCTTAGCAAAGTTTAAGTTTTCAGTTGCTGGCGAAATCACAAACACAGAAGTGAAGGAAAAAACAGCGAAGTCGTCGACGTCGTCGCTAGGCAGCTGCTCGGCGGTTGGAATGATTGGAAAGTGTAGGCAGCGACGCTCACTACGTAACAGCAACAGCAGCAGCGCAGTTGTATGCGAATGCGCATCGAAAAGAGAATTCGATGTGGATGGCGACGGCTGTGGTAGGGTCGCCGAGTCGTTTGGTTGACCATTGAAAACACATCATATTCAAATAATTTACATAATTTGCATTAAAACAACACATTGGAAAGAGCAACAGTTGGCTGCCTTTATCAGGGTTGCCACCTAGCTCAACTAACAATATTATTAGGAACGTATTTTGTTTTTTCGTGTTGTTGGCAACTCTGTCAGCTGCCGGCCGCTATGTGAAAGAGCTCGTATCTATTGCTTATTATAAGGAATAAAAAAAACAAACGTTAGCGATAATCACACTTAACAGCAGTGTAGCCACCAGCACCACGTGAAGCAACAATAGTGTAGCAGCTTGTGTCGTCAGTGTCAGTTATAAAATTCCGGCTGTTTATTGTACCCATTGCTTAATCGCTCAAGTGCAAATAAACGATTAGATTTCAAGAGAAAACTATTCAACAGCAGGATGAACTCAATACTAATAACGGGCTGTAATCGCGGGTTGGGCCTGGGACTTGTGAAGGCATTGAACAAACTGCCGGTGCCGCCGCAGCATCTTTTTACCACATGCCGCAATTTGGAGCAAGCCACAGTAAGTCGTTTTGTCTAGTCATGTCTTCAAGGGGTGACTCATGCATCCCCACGTCGAAACTACGCGAATAATTAAAAAACTGGCTACACGAACAATATACATATATACATATGTAACGCAAGAGAGACAGCAAGAAATATTCTTGTCTTGTGGCATCACTTATTCCGTTACTCACCTTTACCTTGCACGGGCGCCATGTTTTGCAGTATAGGCAAGTGTTTTAAGCTAACGAAAAGGATCAGCAATGGCTTCCAAATATTTGAGGAAATTTATCAGTTATACTGAAGATGAACACACTTAGTACGGCACTTTAACGGTTATGAACAAAAAACAACAAACTTGTATTTTTCGAATAACAGTTAACCGACTATTCTTCCGCGATACTCTCGCTAGCGAACGCAAATGCGAAATAAGCGGTAAACTTTTTGCGATTGCTTTTACGCTTTCGGTTCGATGCTTTGGCTCAGTTTTTGCAGCTTGTTTTCCAGTTATGGAAAGCACAAACCAAACTATCGGTGAATCGATGAACTTGAGTATCGATACTTATGCCCAAGCAAGGCATCCATCACATTAAGTTTGCTGCGTTCCATGGCGTGAACTTGCCGCCACTTTTTGATGAAAAGTTATTTACATTAATATTTATTTGATTTTACTTTGCAGGATCTAAGGAATTTAGCCAAGGAACATTCTAATATTCATATTGTTGAAATTGGTAAGTAGGTGCAGTCGTGTGTCTAACTGAATCTAACGTGCTTATGTTGCATTTCACAGATTTGAAAAATTTCGATGAATACGATAGGCTTATTAACCGAATTGCTGAGGTGACTAATGATTGCGGCCTTAATGTGCTCTTCAATAACGCTGGTATTGCACCCAAGTCTGTGCGACTTGGTGCCACCAGGCATCAAGATCTGGTTGACACGCTGCAGACAAATACCGTGGTGCCCGTAATGCTGACCAAAGCCTGTTTGCCACTGCTTAAAAAGGCATCCGAGGTCAATGCGGATGAATGCATGAGCGTTAAGCGTGCAGCTATAATCAATATGAGCTCCGTACTAGGGTCCATCAAGTCGAACACGGATGGTGGGCTGCTGCCCTACCGAGCTTCTAAGGCAGCCCTAAATGCTATAACCAAATCGATGAGTATCGACCTAGCACCCCAAAAGATACTGTGCGTCAGCATTCATCCCGGCTGGGTGCGCACCGACATGGGTGGTAGCAATGCTCCACTAGATGTGAGCACGAGCACCACACAGATTATAGAGACTATTTGCCAGCTTAACGAGTCACACAACGGTGGCTTCTATCAGTACGATGGTGCAGAGCTACCCTGGTAGAGTTAAACATCATATATATTTACATATATGTAGTTACCATATATATATATTTTGTTGCTATCTATGTAAATTATTGCTGGTGCTAAACAAATGTTTGGAAATCATAAGCTTGCGTTACATCTAAATTCGACGTGGTAGCCATGCTGATGAAGTCTCGCAGGACAAGCGTAGATCAAAGCGTCGGCGGCTGCGATGATTGTGGCTGGCCATCGGTGCCATTCATGGGGTATGCGACGCGTTTGCGCAGGTCGAGCCGCGGTCGTCGATTGGCGGTGTCTCCACTTACTGGTGGCGGATCGTTCCAGCCGGGCGTAAGTGAGCCTAATGGTTCGATGAAGGGAATATATAATATATATATATATATATTAACTAAAAATTTGTTTTGCCATGTTTTGGTTTACCTGGAAAAGCACCGCTGGGCGCAATGCTCTGACCCATTGGTGGCGGCGGCTGCTGTTGTGTTGGCGGTGGCGGTGTCATATTTGTCTCACTCTCAATTTTTCTAAAAATGTATCTATGAACGTTTTTCCGCTAATATTACACAGCCAAAATGCGGAGTGCTGAATTTTATTATTGTTTTCTTTTTTCCCTGAGTGTCAACAAATTGTGTGCGCAGCAAGTTTCATGCGGAGCAATGCTGCGTGTAGCCAACATCAAGTGAGAGCGGAAATTGCGCGCAGCCAACTTAATACATTGTGATTTTTGAACATTAATTCGATTAGGAAACGTTACAAATTAAAGTTCCTATACAGATGGTTAAGTCTCATAAGAAGCCGATATTTTAGCTGACAGTTGGCCTGTCTAATTCACAACTCTGCCTAAAAACTTATCAATAAACAACCTGCTAACGGTTTTTTGTCTAGCTAAAGCGATAAGTATTGAAGTCACTTAATTCGATGTGCATCCAACATATAAAACGCAGGAAACTTAATGCATTTTTAATTTTGGCACACTCTCTGGCTTAGAAAACGTCTCATAGCGAGAGACAAAGCTTTGAAGAGGTCAAGTAATTTGTTTACCTTGCAGTTTACCTGAAAAAGGTTCGAAATGGTGAATAGCTGGGCAATTTTGTAACCCATTATAATCTATATAAATATTAGGCCATGAACAATAACTTTCATTCAGCTGCTTTCGCTACTTTATAGTTAACCTTAAACGTTTTATATTTACACGACATTGCAAGTCTTGAGTGCAGCCAACTTCAAGTGAGTGTGCATGTTAAGCGCAGCCAACATAATGCATTTTGAATTTTTGCACGTTAATTTGATTAGGAAACCGTTACACAAAAACAGAGAAGCCATAAATAATGTGAGAGGGATATATATATATATATATATATATATATATATATATATAGAGAGAGAGAGAGAGAGCGAGCAAACAATGTTTCGTACCTTTTACCTTTTACCTGTTCATAAAACAAATAAAATGAAAGCTTTTATTTTTTGTGGTAATTAATATTTGATTAAAAAGTGGTTAGTGTGGAAATTATTGGATCTAGTTTATGCTATTTTTTCCAAAATCAATATATAATTTATGTAGTATTTGTTGCTTCTCTGGCATCTTACAATAGCCGCTGTCACACGCACAAGAGTCTTGAGTCTAATCTTGTGCAGTGGCCAGCAGCTGCAATAAGCACCGTTCCCAAAGGATCAGACATACGCATATATCGTAGATCTTACACTCGCACTGTAGCACTCGAAAATTTGGACTGTTTGCCGTAGCTGGACGAACTTACTGCTTGGCATAGTTGATGCCATTTCGTGAATTCTTGAATTAATGATAAGCTAATAGGGACGACATATGTTCCGGTTCCCAATTCTAAGTGTGTGACACGCATTTTAAATATTTAAATCGCCTGTGGCGATAGTTTTTGTTGTTATTGTCATAGTTGTTGTTACAATTTTTGACGACATTTTGTTGTAGTCTTATTGATTTTCATTTGAATGCTTCATTTTCTCGCTGTTGGGCCCCAAATATTCAAATGGAACTTGCTGAGCGCACCAAAAAAAATTGTTTAAAAAATAAATGATTATAAATATTTTTATATAAATATTTATGAGCTGCTGTCGCCGTTAATGTTTATCCTTTCACTGGCAAAAAAATTGCTGCTGCCACTGCAGTTGCCGCTTAATTAACAATGTTTAACTGAGACATTGTTCTGGCTGCTTTGCTGCTTTTATAGTTGCATTTCTCGCCGCCGCAGCTGGCGCTGGCAGCGCCGTCAGCTTTGTTGCTGGCGTCGTATCCCTTGCAAAGTAGTCGTTGCTGTTGTTGTTCATGCCAAGTTTGTAGCTACCTGCTACCATACACACACACACACACACTCACACGCATACGCATGTACGCATCGGTCAGCGGCGAAGTCTTACATGTGTGTGTTTGTGAGTTTGTAATAATATTAGACGTTCTTAGTGGGCGAGCAGCTGTGTGTGCGAGAGCTGAAGAAGAAGAACACGAAGAAGAAGACGGCGAAGTGGAGGAAGGAAAAACGTTGCCTGCTTTTGGGCGCGTGGCGATTGCAGCAAATCAAAAAGAAAAACAGCAACAACAAGCGCGTTGCTAAATGAGAGTGAAGCAGCAGCACATATTGAGGCAGGCTTGAAAAGCAGGCAATGGAAATATGATGCCATTTACGTATGCAACGGCGAACTTCAATGTGCCCAATGAGAATTGCTGCAGCCTGGGGCCGAGAAACCTCGCACTGCCACGTTACAAAAAAAAAAAAAAAAAAAAAAAATGAAACGAAAGCAGCTGGAATGAAAGGCACACACGCTCAAATGAAATAACATGTGACACCTTTAACTGACCCCCTGCCCCGCACAGTGGTGCAACAACGGCTCCCAGCCCGCCCCAAACGCCCCGCACTTGTATGGCATCGCCGTTTGGAATGCTTCGCTGCGCTGCGCCCGTACAACGGGACCTGGGGAATCTCAACAAGGTAACCAGCGGGCAGCAGCAGCTTAAAAAGACAACAACAACAACAACAGCAAGCTAGCGGCTGGCAGCGGGTGGGGTGTGTGAGCTAGGGGCTGCGCTGCTTAGCGAAAATGGCGCGTATCAAGTGACAGATTGTCTGCGGCAAAGAGGCCAACTGCTAGCCTAGTATGCTTGGGGATAGTTGTGGAAGGGGATGTCCCCCATTGTTGCTGCTGTTGTTGTTGTATTCGTTTGGCTTTCTTTGTTCCACAAGCTGCAGCAGCTGCTTCGTCTACTTGTGCGCTGTTGTTGTTGTTCTTCATGTGAAACCATAATTTTCAAAGCAGTCGGCACACACACACATACACCTACACCTACATATACCTACACCTACACACATACACACTGGTCACACTTTTTGACACCTTTGCCTTTGCCTATCGTTCAGCCTGGTGTCTCTTTTTCACACACACACACACACACACAGGCAATTACTAGGCACAATAAATTATGAAAATCCTTGTCATACAAGGATTTTATCGGGTGCTCGAATCTTGCATAATTATCAACTAGTTGGCTGGCCTTAGCGCTAGGTGTCTTCCGCAAAAGTATGCTACAAACATTTCGAAAGAAACAATTATTTAAATGTCATTTGTAATTAGTTCTTGCTTTGCAATCAACTTGCAGCTTTTTCTGACCATAAAGTATATATATCTGCATACCTGGATTCGAGTCAATTGTAATCAAGTTCGTTTTACTCTTGCTCCCTCCATCTCTCTCTCGCTCTTTCTCTCTTCTCTCCCCCTCTCTCTGGTTTGTCTTTGTCGCCTATCTGTTAGTCTGCTTGCTTCTTCCGTATATTGGAAATCGATAAATCCATATTCACATCTAAATATGTATTTCCTTGCCTTTCACAGAGTGAAGAGTTGGAGACTTTCGAATGGTGCTTAAAGGTAAGTCCATCAAATCGTCTAAAACTATATCCTTGCATATTGAGAGTTCTAAAAGGTAAAGACATGGTCGACAGGGAGTTCAACTCATTCAGCGCAAAGCCGTATAAATAATGGCTCTATAAGCAGAGCGTGACAGCACCTGATGATTCCTGAAGGACTCAGATTTTATATATAATTTGCCATGCCCGTGCTCACCAGGTTTAAATATGCATGCAAATAATATGTAATTTCAAATTATAAGGTTGTAGCTACAGAACTGGGAGAGTCTAAATAATTTTGTAATTTTGTAACAGATCTTAAATATCTATCTGTCCATCTATGATTTATAGAAGAAGTTATTCGGCACGCTCCCATATAATTTTATATTTTCAAATTCTCAAGTCCCTAACTCCGAAACATCCCAATTATAAAAGGAGACTCAGACCAAACACCATTTGGTAACTCCGGATTTCGTGACCCTTTCCTGTGCATAGATTTCAAACCTTACGTTTGTATTTCGAGTGTTAAATAGAGGACCCTCGCTTCCGTTCAATATGGGCATATAGTAATAGCACTGGCCAGGGCATCCCCGATTGCGTGTCTTTCAGATTTAACGTCCCACGGCATGGAAATCAATATGTTTTAATTAAGGCAACTGCTAGCTGGCTCTAGCTAGTTGATTGGAGAGGCGAGTTATATTATTGGTCTGTCTATCTAGGTATATAGAAAATATGCTTGGGTAATTCTCGACCTGGGGGCGTTGGAATTGAGATCGAAAGTTATATGGAGCCAATAATCCCGACGCTTGCAAGTGCATCATTCCTTAACTCCTCTGCAGATATGCCCATAAATTATATGAGCCACCCATTTGAGGCGTGGCAGATCTGAAAATATTGATTTCTAGCCATATTCTTAGTCTGCTAAAAAGTTGTTACTTCATGGCCCAGCTGAGAAGCTCCTTAAATGCCATCTGACTTGTGTGGCCTTGATGCATTAGGCATACCTTGGTACCACCCAAACGCCCACACACCCCCCCACACACACACACACAAATCGTATGCAGCTGAGAGGATTCCTATTGCTCGGCTCAGCCATGTTGCAACAGGACACAATTCAGCCTTGAGCTGTGCTCATTGCCAATTCCCAGCTGTATTGCGGCTTCAGTTTTGGACGGCGAATGGCAGAGCTACTCAAAGAGCTCCTGCCACACGCAGGCAAAAGGCAGAAACTGCAGGCGAGTTATTTATTTACCTGAATAAGAAAGTCCTTACGCTTTAAATTAAGGCTCAATAAATGAGCTTTTTACAGCAGTTAACGCATGAGCATGGCTTTGACATTTATCGACTTCAAAGCATTAGTCACGCTATAAGATCCATATTGATTTTATTACATACATATTACAGCCACGCCCACAATAGTCGCAGTAACTGTGCTATAATTTACCGTTTTGGACTTATGGAACTCGTGTGGAATATGCGAGTGTGGCTAAGAGTCGATTTACTTGTCACAGGGTACCTGCATTTATGCAGGGTATCAGCTAGTCGTGCACTCTCTACTTAAACACCCCGGTTTTCATCTGAGTAAAAAGTGTGCAGGGTATCTGTTAGTCGTGTTCAATTCAATGTGCAGGGTATTTGCTAGTCGTATACTCTACAATGAAACTACAATTTAATTCTATTTATGTCTTCCTCAGTCTCTCTCTGTCTCTCTCTCTCTCTCTCTCTCTCTCACTCACTCTCTCTATCGTCGTGTCGTGAGCTCTCCTACGCACATATTTAAGGATAAGAGCCATTGTGCTCTCCTCTCTCACT